CTCACCTTCCCTCCTCCTCCCTCCTCCTTTTTCCTGCTGAAGGCACCCAGGTGCACCCAGGTGTGTGCAACGCACTGTAACCCACAACGTCAGTCACCTGAGGTTGCAGGTGATACATCCATATCTCCGTACAAGAGGGTTTTTCCGTATATTTGGTCGAATGTGTGATTTTTCCAGTCTGCTGTTTCCTCGAGTTAAAATAACCGCCGGGAGCACAGACATGCCAGTCTACAGCACACTTTTCTACATGTTTTAATAACACCGTATCGCACCAACATCAGCAGACGCAGGCAGAGCACCTCCTGCACGGCTGTGCCGAGGCATCCCTCACGTTTCTGCTCTGCATTTACACTGCCCAGATGTGATTTTGGGGAGCAACATGGTTGGCACGTGGATGGGAGCGTGTGATGTTGCACCCTGCATTTGGGACGCGTGGCGATCCCTGGTGCACTCTGCTGACGGCTTCTGATGCCATGATGTTATGACACCTCTCCCTTTCTGAGCCGTTGAATTGTCACTGTGGCCGTCATCTTCTGCAGGCTCAGGGTCACTCCAGGGGAAAGAGGGCCGGGCTGGTGTTTAGCAGAGCACCCATGGGTGCTCTGACTCGGCCCATAGCACGGCTCTTAGTCACCCAGCTCCCTCCCACCCGGGTTTCCCCAGCCTGTGCTGAGCTCCCGGGCTCAGAGGGAGCCAGTGGCTCACAGGTTCCGTGCTGCCAGTCGCCATCTCGGCGTGGAGTCCTCCTCTAGCCGTGGGGAGAGCACTGCTTCGCCCAAATCCCTGACTCACTCGCACCATCTTTCCCCGACAGCAGGCTGGCTCCACGCAGGAGCCAGGCTTGGGCAAGAGCTGCGCAGCCTTGGAGAGCTGCTGCTGGCACTGTCACGCGTATTCCCTCTGACTGCATCGCTGCAGCTCTCACTTGCTGCCTGCCAGCGCTCCCCCACGGGATACGCCAGCCCCATCGATTCCAAAATCAGAAATATTTCACACTCCAGAATGTCACCCTGACTGAAAAATCGTGCTCCAGGGGTGGGCTGGGTCGTTTGGTCTCCAAGTGCAGGGGGCAGGGATGGACTCAGCTGGCAGCCAGCAGCAGAGGTGCCGCTTTCCCGCTGCCTCCCATGCACAGCAACCCCAGGCAGGAGGCTGGGAAAAGCCCACTGGGGTGACACAAAGTTGTTTGGAAAAACACACGGTAATGAAAGCGGCTGAGCAGCCGGGTGGCTGCCTGTCCCGCCGTGCTGTGGGCTCCCCTCACTGGGCAACAGGAGCCCCAGAATGACACCCCAGTGCACCCCACATCCCCATGATCGGCAGCTGGGAAGGGACCAGTTCGGCCGCACCGGTGCCTCCCAGCTCTGTGGCTGAGTCCCTGTCGGGGGACATCCCATCCCCACGGCGTTTTCTCATTTCCAGCCTAATCTGCCACTCTCCAGGCTCACTGCGACTTAATATATCACTGGTGACCACCCGTGGGCAGGAGCGGGAGAGCTCGACCTTCTCCATGCCCATCCCCAGGACACCACTGCCAAGCCAAAGAAAATCTGAAAAAAAAAAAAAAAAAACAACTAACGGTAAAGCCTGGAAATTTCTCAAGTGGCTTTTTTTTTTTTTTTTTTTTTTTTTTTTGCGGGATGTGCGTGTGTGTTTGTTGTCTTTTTCCATGTGAAATTTACTATCTTTCCACTGGTCACTGCGAAATAACTAAGGGGGTGAAGGGCGGGTGAGCAGCTTTCTGAGCAGTCCACTTGTCTTTGGAGCAAGAGCTGGAGCCGGGGGACCCCAGGCTAGTTTTAATTGTATCTTGACTGTGGTGCTCATTACTCACAGCCCTAACGGGCTCTGCGGTTCCCATTTGTAATCACATGTTCAGTAAAATAATCAAGTTATAATTGCTCGGGATTCCTTCTCCCCTACGTAACAGAGCCCAGACAGAGGAAGTGGCACTACAACTGAGTTAGCAGCAAACCTCAGCGTTGCCTTCGGTCAACATTTCAGGAGCAAATTAACCAGAGTTAAATCGAGAAGAGAGCTAATAAAAATCCCCCAAATCTGCCTAGGTGATGAAAAGACACTTTTAACCTCTCCTTTCCTTGTCACGCTGACAAAAGCATCTTCTTCCCTTTGGGTGGCCCCAAAATAAGGCTTGCCCTGGTTCTGTGCCTCTGCCTGCACCTCCAGGAGCAGCGGGGGCTGCCCACCGGTACCGACCGTGGGGGGCGATGGCTTTGCAGAGCAACCATCTCCTTGGGAACGGGCAGCAAAGGGATTTCAGCCCCCAAAGCCGCAGGGACTTGTGCTTTCTGCCTACAGCTTTGCTGGCCCTTTTGCCTGCTGACCCCCACTGGGGTTTGGGCTCTATCAGAGGGAACCAGTTAAAAAAAAAAAAACCCAAACAATTACTGAGTATCAGAACAAGGAATCGGTAGTGACTCAGGTTTAAGAAGGACAATTTTTGCCAGGCAAAATGTGATGGCTTTTTTGGACGGGGCTAGAAAACGGGGCTGCAGCTCTAATCAATCCAGGTTTCAGTGAATTTCTTGCATTAACCCGGAGAGAGAGACTCAGCCAGCCCCGGCCTGGAGGCGCAGGGCTCGGCAGGAGCGGTGTGGGCAGCCGCAGCGGCAGGGTCTGGGGTAGGGACTGGTCCACAGCAGGGAGAATATTGATAAACTGATGGGGACTGGAGCGAAGTTGTGAATCCCCAGGGGGAGAGATTATGAAACACAGCAACATCCCCATGCTGGCGTGTTTTTCTTCCCACTTGCCCGGACCCAGGTTTTTTACATCCAGGATGTGCAGAGGCAGAGCACAGAAGCTTTGCAGCTGCTACCAGCACCCGCGGGTCACGGCTGCTGGTGCCCCAGCAAAGGGACCCTCCTCCTCCCGTGGGTGCAGAGCACTGCAGGCTGCATGATCAGGGCTTTTGAGCCCGAGGATCTGTGTTTGAGGCACCCGCAGGTACCTCTCATCTGCCCATACCCTGACCCCAGTGTCTTTCCCACTAAGGGAATCGATCCTGGGGGTGAATCCGCTGCCTGCAGCCCTTCGAGAGAGGTGGGAATGTGCTGGGACACAGTAGGCAGCTCTGCAAGGGAGAGACATCCTCACCAGGGATTGTGCTTAATCATAATCATTTTGCCTTTCTACATTTTTAATTTACTAATTAATCCCTGGAAGGAATACCTGCTTGGATGCGGGAAAGAATGAAACGCTTTCATCTGGGTGTGCTGGGAGTGTTTCACCAACAGCCTGGGCAGAGCATTAGCAAACCTGAGGCAGAGTTGGGGAACGGGGCATCCCAGCTGGGCCGCCGGCTCCTCGTGGTTGAGCTGGCCTCCCTGCCTGAAAAAACTATCCCCTGCGCCAATCATGCAGGGCCATTTCCAACCCCTGGCAAAAGCTGTGGGAGCTCCCAGACATCTGGAAAGCCCCAGGAGGCTGCTGCCAGCCAGAGAGCATTGCTGGAGGTAATAGCACATCCTGAGCGCATCGGTCCCGCAAGGGCTGGGGTCAGCCCTGAGCTGGGCCAGGTTTCATCTTGTGCAAGGTTTCTTTCTGGGAAAAGGACTCTGTGTCTGCCAGCAGGAGGTATTTCACCAGCTCTAGTTGGGTCTCTGACCAGCCCAGAGCCGATGTGCCCTGGTACCCTGGGCAAAGGCAATAGCACATGTCCAGCCAGGAGCCTTCCCCGTTCTCTTCCTCTTCCTCCTCTCCCCCACTTGTTTGGCAAACCGCTGCCTGCCTGCGGAGAGACCTCCCGGGGATGGAGGAGAAGGGACGCGGAGCCACTGGACAGGATGAGGTCAGGGCTTGGGACACTTGTCTCAGGGGAGAGGTGGGGTTACCCACTTTGGTTAGGTGTTGACACAGGTTACAACTCCCATGGGAGATGGTCGGTGTGGGTGGGAGTGGGGGAGCTCTGGGTGCTCTTCCCACGGCTCTGCGAGGTGAGACTCCGCCGTGCTTCACCTCTGCCCATCACCAGGGACTGGCGGGCGCTTTGGAGGGATGCTCCTCTTGCCCAGGCACAGATGACATGAGTGCCACCATGTCTCCTACAGCTGACATGACTCCGTCATCCTCAGCATCCCAGCCAGGAGCCCCTACCCATCTCGCTGGGGTCCCTGTCAGGAAGGCGGCAGAGAAACGGTGCTGGGACTGGTGAGATCTCAAGAGTCAAGCAGGAACGTCATGAGGGACCAGCACACAGAGAGCAGCTATAGATTCTGCTTCTCCCTGCCCATTTCTCTCAAGAAACTTCAGTTGTCTCAGCTGTCAATCCCTTCTCCTGCTTTTTTTTTTTTTTTTTTTTTTTTGAAGTTGGAGAACTACGTACATGGATGGCGTCTCTAATTAATATAAATATAGCAAAACATAAATAATAGACATGCCTGAAATAGTGTCAGCCCCAAGCAGACAGGCATACGCGTCATGGAAAGAAAATAAAAATGCTTTTTATCTGTTTTGGCATTTTTTTGTTTGTTTGTTTTCAGTGGTTTGTTCCGTTCCTTAGGAAAGAGCGACCTTTGCCATGGGTGAAACCACTCGAAAGCAGGAGACACCGAAGGGAAGGGAGGGTAAAAAGCCCCAGGGGAGCGAGGGGGACAGGGATAGGGATGGGGCTGGGGACGGGGGACGGGGCAGGGGCTGGGGCTGGGGCTGGGAGCGGCGGGGCGCAGCGCGGGGCCGGCGGGAGATGGGGAAAGCCCTGCCGCTCCGGCGGGCTGGGAATTCATAATAAATGAGGGTTTGTTTTTTTTTTTTTCTTATCACGGGGAGGCGGCTCCCGGTTCTCCCCCACAGCTCGGCTGCTCCCGCCGCTCTCCCAGGCGCTGCCCCGAGGCCGGGGGCGCGGTCGGGGCGGCCGGGTTCTTCCCTCCAACTCCTCCTCCTCCTCCTCCTCCTCCTCCTCCTCCTCCTCCTCCTCCTCCTCCTCCTCCTCCTCCTCCTCCTCCTCCTCCTGTTTCTTCCCCCCCTCTCCGGCCAGCCGGCGGAGCGGCGGGGGCCGGGCCGGCTCTCATCCCCCCCCCGCATCCCCCCCGCCCGGCTCCGCCTCGCCGAGGGAGCGGGGAGCTGCCGGGCTGCCCGGCGAGCCCCGGGAACCGGCGAGCCCCGGAGCCGCCGCCGCGACCTGCCCGGCCCCGCCGGGGCTCCGCCGCCGATGGCATCGCGCTGCCGCCGCCAAGTAAGGGGACAGAGGCGGGGGATCGCGTGGGGAGGGAAAACACACACACACGCACACGGACACGGACACGCTGTGGGCTCGCCCCTTCCCAACCATGGGACCCACCCGCGCCCGGCTCGGCGGTGCCCGCCGCAACCCCCATCCCCCCCCCCCCCCCCACCCCGGCGCCCCGCACGGAGCCCCCGACGCTCCCCCGGGCTGTTCCCCACCCCGTCCCGAGGCTTTGGGGAGGTTTTGGGGCGGTTTGGGGAGCGGGGACGTGCGGTCAGGGAGAGGGACAGCGCCGGGGCGCAGGAACTGGGGGCCCCGGGTGCTCGGGTGGGTGGGGGGGGCTCGACCCGTGGAAAAAGCTGACCTAAGGGGTCGGGGAGGACAGGGCAGCATCCCCTTGTCCCCCAGGGTGGAGAAGATGGCTGCCACCGAGCCTTTAAGGCAGCCTGGGGGGGGCTCCGAGATCTTCACCGGTGTCTCAGCGTGTGTTGGTTCTCAGCTTTGCTGTAAAACCACGCATCTTTTTGATGGACAAAGAAACAGCCCGAGTCAGCCGTTCCCCTGCGTTGCCGGGCTGGAAAAGCTCGTTAGTGTCTTCCTCGTGAAGTAAAAATTGCTAGGGCCGTTTGCTTCCGAGGGCAGGAGGACTGAGGAGGTGTTCGGCATGCCCGGCCTGCGGAAAGAGGCCGTCTGCAACTTGTTCTTCAGGTTGTTTCGGGGGATGAAAGGGGAGAAGAACGTATTTCAAAGCCACGGGAAAGCAGCGTTATCCCACGCAAGGTGTGGTTAACGCACGGGACTCACTGCCACGGGATTCCCGTGGGGAGAGAGCTGGGGCTTCCCTGCTGCGCTGGCAGCGGGATGCCCTGGGTTTGTAGGTGTGAGGTGATGGAGCTGGGAGCCCGGGGGGGCGGAATCCCAGCCCACGGGGCCAGCCACTGTCTCCCCATCTGGCACGGGAAGGGGCTTTTCCCCAGGACAAGTTCTGGTTTGGCTGGGGCCCGCAGGGGAGGTGGCGAGGGGATGGCTCTTGCTCAAAAGGCGTCCCAGCTCAGGTCCAGTAGTCCTCTCCGCCCTCACTCAGCGAAACCATTCTCTAAAAAGGCAACACTAGTAAATCGGGAGGTTGTTGGTGTCCCCAGGGTGTGAGGCGGGCTGACGGGGCGGGGGGTGAGCTCCAGGGGGGCCGTGCTGGGTCCCTGCTGTCCCCACACGGATGGGCTGAGCTGAGCTCTCCCAGCTCCTGGTTGGGAGTCGGTAGGTCTGCAGACCGACCCCAGGGCCAGGGGGCCAGCCACGGCCACCCTCCTCTTCCCGTGTCACTACCCGGCTGCGTGGGAGAGAGCACCCACCAGACGAGAGCTGGTCACTGGCAGCAGATGTCTCCTCTCTCTCCAGCCTTGCCAGTCCTCTAACACAGCGGTCGGGGAGAGGGGAGCATCCCTTAGCGAAACGCTTCTTGCTTGCTTAAAAGCTGACAAGGAAGGATGCCCTGCAGCTGGGAGCAGGCGCAGAGGCCCAGTGAGGTGCTCCCAGCAGACGTGTGCACGCAGGGTTTGGGGGTTCTGCACCAACAACCCCCTCTGTGTTTGCTGGATGGCTGCCGAAGACCGGGGAGCGGGCGGCCAACACAACACACCTAAAAGCAGCTACTCCAGGTGGGAAGGAGCACTTCTCCTCCCATCGGAGGTGTTCGGGGCCAGTGGGCACAGGCTCCTGGGCGGCTGCCTGCCCGGGTGCTCCAGGCACCCCTTCCAGCACGGGCTCTGGTGCTGCAAGGGTGCTCAGCACCCAAAGAAAAGTTGGTGCGAGGCACCCAGACAGCGTGCCTGGCTCTGCGTGGGTGGGTAAAGGGCCGGGGGATTGTGTAGAGAGCAACAAGCAGGGATAATGGAAAAATCAGATCCCAAGTGTCCTCTTGGGCTGACAAAATGCAGAAAAGTGTGTTCTCCTGTCATTGCAGAAAACAGTTTAAGCGTGACTTGGTTGGGGTTTGTCTGTTGCAGTGGGACAGGAGGGATTTACACTCCACCCACAGCCTCAGGGGCCTCTCCTCAGTCCAACACAAAAATAGGCTGATCTTTCCAAAAGATGGGGTGGGCTGGAAAATGCCATTCCTGCAGGGACCCACCGTGCTTCTGCCCCAGGAAAAGACGTTGTGAGTGACTGTGGTTTTGTGGCCCAGGGAGGGGTGCAGGGAAGAGCCCAGCTTCGGGCTGTGCCATACCCCGCTGCTGTCTGAGAGCTACAGCTGCCGCATGTGCAAGCGTGCATATGCAAAGCAGGAGCTTTCCCTCCTGGTGCCAACACCTGAAGCCCAAGGAGCCAACGTTTTTCCTTCCCAAAGGGCATCAGAAGCAGAACTCTCCTGCGGGCAGGGCATGGGCTTGCAGCCCCAAACGCGGAGCCAGTCAAAGGCTGGAGGCTCTGCGGGAGTGGCTGCTTTTCTGCCGGCACCTGGAAGCTGCTGGCCCACTGCCTGTGCTCGCTCTGCCCCAGCTCGGGCAGAATTGGGTCTCCATCGCTAGCTCCTGTCCCAGTGCTGGTGGAACAAACCTTCCCAAACCTTCGGCAAGGCCTGCAGCACCGTGCTGCGTGCTGGGGGAGCAGCCCAGGGGCTGGGTCCTTCATCCTCAGCAGCTCGGGGGGGCTGGTGGGGAGCCTTTTGGGCAGGGGTGGTTGCCTGGGGAAACAGCTCCCCTGCCCTCCCGTTGCTGCTCCTGGGAGCCCCCCCCCCCCCCAGCCCTGGACACTGAGGGTGCCCATGGGTCTCGATAGCCCTTTCTCGTGGCTATCGAGACCTGCCCGTGGCTTGGCCGTGCTGCTGCCTGCCCGGGCCCCGCTTGCCAGCGGGGGCTGGCCCATCGCCAGCTCCAGCCTGGCATCTCCCTTGTTGACGTGAGTGTTTCAGGCCCTACATGGCCCGGCCCTGGCTCCCACTGAGCTGTGCCTCTGCCCGCACCCGCCGATGCTCCCCACGGCGTCTCCTTCATCACCCAGCCCTCGGCGCTCTCGCCTGGCCTCCGGGCTGGCAGGATGCTCCGTGCGGGGGCTTCCCGAGGGCTCTGGTCCAGCTAATCCCCCGGGAGGGTTTGGGAGGTGCTCAAAGCCCTCCCGGCTCCCCCCCTCTCCATCCTCCCCCAGCCACTTCAGCCGCCCTGAGTCACGCCGTGCCGCCGGTGCCGGCAGAACGGGAAAGCCCACGTGCACGGCTGGCGGGCACGGAGCGAGGAGGGGGAGAGGGGCCGCATCCCGGTAAGCGCTTTCAGGCAGGGTAATCCGGTGTTGTTTGTAACACTAGTAGGGGAGCTATTTTTAGAGAGAGGCAAATTTGATTTAATAGAACATAATTTGCCGCTGACAATTCAGAGGGCGGCCAAATGAGCAGCAGCTGGATTCCTAAGGAGGCTTTTTCCTGCCCTTCCTGAAATCCGAAGGCTGACGTGCCAGAAGTGGCATTTGTTATTTCAGCAATTGCTGGGGAAAAGCCCCTTGGGATGGCCCAATTAGCTCCGCTTTGCTTTCCTTCTATTGCTTCATGCCGTCCTGTATCCCGCTGTTAAAAAAAAAGCGAGGGATGCTTTTGCTGCCGTCCGCTGTGGGAGGGCTCGGTGAACCCGAACTCCTTTGGGCAGCTGGAGCCAGCCAGGTCCTCCCCTTTGCCTTTTCTTCTGCGGGCTGAGCTAGCTCTGCTCTCTCAGCCTTTCCTCGTATAAATTTAGGATAAAAATTAGGTTCTGATCAAACCAAACAGCTCATTTGCCAGGAAACAAAGCCTGTGTGCACTCCTGGAGGGTTTCTTACAGACTGAGTTCTTCTGGACCAGCCTCAGAGATATCTCGGGACAAACCCTTCACCCTGGAAAGGTGCAAACACCATATGCCTGCTTGTCCTTTCCTCGAGATGAAGATCCCCAGAAAAGCGATGCCGGTGTGGGAAGATGTTGGGTAGGTTTTTTCTAGCCCTCAAACTGTTGTGCCCAGCCTGTCCCCAGTTGGTGGCATGGGGACAAGGAGCCCCCTGGGATGAGCTGGGATGGCCGCAGGCTGGAGGCTAGTTGCCACGGGGCCGGCAGGGCCCCAGGGAGAGTTGGGGGGTGATGTTTCCCTCAGGGTTGTATGTTGTCCCCAGGTGAGTGCCCCTAGGGCAGAGCATTGCAGGCTGGTGGCATCGTCACCCCCCGCCAGCCCTGGGGCAGCCATCCCCCACCACCACCACCACCACCCCGAGCAGGAACAGCAGAAGTGTCTTGGGGGGGTCCCCAAGCCCCTGCCAGCTGAGCCCCCGCTGTGCTCCTGGCAGCCTTGGAAGCTGTTGTGCTGCAGCCAAGAAGCCCCAAGGCATGGGATGGGATTGCTGAGGACAGAAGCCCCAGTGGCTGTGCCCCCCACCCCCAGGGCTGTCCCCTGCTAGCAGAGGGAAGGGAGAGCCACGGGGTGGGGGGAGAGGGGCAGGAGCTTTTCTGGGCAGCAACATCTGCCCAGCTCTCGGAGAGAAACCTCAGGCAGCAGCATCGCCGGAAGGACGCGGCTTTGTACCCAGCAAAATTTGCTACGAGGCAAATCCCCTCTGCCCGCTGCCCGGCCCCAGGGGGGGGAGCAGCCCCCCAGCAGTGAAGCAGGGCATGCTCCGAGCTCCAGCTCCTGGGAGGAAAGGGCTGAGCGGGACTTCAGCACAGCTGTGTCCTTTAACTCCAGCAAACGCGTGCCCAGGGTTTGGTTGGGTTCCCCCCAGATGTGCAGTCACTCCACACACCTGGAAAACCCTTTGGCAGCCAGCCGGGTGGGTGCTCAGCCCTGTGCTGCTCCCTCAGGGGTCACCATCCTCCTCGTAGCCCTGAGGAGGGGTTTGCAGTGCTCCCTTCTCTGCCAACACAGGGATGTGCCCTTGGGCCGTGTCTCACCCTGGAGTACTTGCAGCTGCTGGAGTTAAAGCCAGGATCACGTTAGTAAAGAAAATTGGGTTTGCTGGGGACCGAGCAGCTGTGCTCCCCTGACTGCATCCCAAAAGCCCCGTGAAGGTGGTCACATCTCCTTGCCAACATGGGCTGCCCTGTGTGGCTAGGGTGAAGGAGAAGGTCTACCTCAGAGACTGGTGTGGGGGGAAATCCTGAAGTCGAGGAGTTAAGTGCCTGCCCTTGGTGCACCGCAATTGTAAATGTCCCTAGGGACACTGGCTGGAGTTGGTGTGGCACGTGGGACCCGGCAGCTCCCCCAAAATAACTTTCTCACCTTAATCAAATGCCTTTTCCCACAAATGAAGAGGCGCCGGGGGCAGTCCGGCCGGCCGCAGGGGGTGTGGGTGCTCCCTGAGCGTTGCCCCAAGTCGCGTGGCCCTTCCCAGCTCGCCTGTGCTCCGCTTTCTCCCATCCATCAGCTCAGGCCAGTGGAAACCGGGAGCCATCAGTTATCAGGGAGACAGCCCTAAAACTGAGATGAGGTTGCTCTCACCAGCTCCTTTGAAGAGCAGCCACTTCTATGGGTTGCTGTCCTTTTCCCTGTGACCAGTTTGGTTAAGTGAAAAAGCTGCTAAGTTTTGAAGCCTGCAAACGCACAGGCTGGAGGGGACCACTTGGTTGGAGGCCCTCTGATGCCTCCTCTGTGGCACAGGTTTTTCCCTCTCACCCAGTTTTGGATGTAGACTTTCATTTACAATGATTCTCAGTGGCGGAGCCAGCTAAAGCTCACCACCAGCTTGGGGGGTGGAGGCGCAGGCTGGGAGTTGCCACTTGTTCAGCTCCCCTGCCTCTGGGCCCAGGGGGCTGCGTCTTCTCTAATTAATTGCATCCTTCCTTCTGCTCCTATCATGCTGGGTTCCCCTGGAAAACGCTGGGGATAAATAAGGTGAGAGGCTCCTCTCCCTGCCCACAGCATCTGCCTTGCCTTTGTCGAGCCACACGCTCTGGCCGCCGAGAGCCGTGGCTGTCGCGGGTGGTACGGTGCCGGCACCACAGCAGAGGGGCTCCCCCGGGGACGCTGAACCCCGGGGGTGGTCGCGTGGTGAGGTGCTCTGTGTTCCTCCTCGTGCTCATCCCCCTTTCTGCCAGCCCCCCCGCTGCAGCCAACACACTCTCCTCTCCGTTCCCCCAGCATGCCTGGAGCAGAGGTTCCCCCACATCTGTGGTGGGGAGCCCTCCCCAGCTGGGAAAGCACCCTTGCACCCTATTTCTAAGCTCACAGCGGGGAGCCGTGGCAGGGCAGCGTGTGCAGGCAGGAGCCACCCTCTGCCAGCCGTGGGCAAGGCACTGCTGACTGCCCCCCCCCACCCCCCCGCTCTCTTTTTATCCCCACTCTAGGGAAGAAGGCGCTGACCGGGTGCTCTGAAGCTCCGGGGTTCGCTGCCCACGGGCTCAGCAGAATGGTGCCAGCCAGCCCAGTGCCCCCCGCACCCGTGGTGGTGCCGACGTGACCGGGACCCCGCCGCACCGAGCCCGGCACGCCGAGCGCAGCGGCTCGCGGCCCCTGCCCCGGGGCCTGCCGCCCGAAGATGAGCGATGGCGGGTGGATCTCGCTCAGCCCCACCGAGTTTGCCCAGCTCCAGCAGTACACAGACTGTGAGTACCCTGTGCCCCCCCCGCACATCCCCCCCCGGGGCAGAGAGAAGGGTTTTAAAGGTCAGTGCCTGACCGGGTGTCCTACACATCCTTGGTGTCCTCCTGGAGAACTAGGTGACTTCTTAGATTTTGGCTGGGGAGGCTGGGAAGGTCCCCGACCCCCAGCACTGGCTGATGGGGCACGGCAGGAGTCCCTGTGCCTGCGTGCCCAGGAGGATTTAGCTGAGAGCAAGCTTTGGGGGACGCACACATGAGCAAGGCTCGGTCCCTCCGAAGGCGGCTGGCTCCCACGTTCGTTAGCAAAGTGAAATGCCAATGAGGAAAGCAGACTGGCTTTTCCTAAACACGCGGAGCCGCTCAGCGGCTCGCCTCGGGTTGCCAACCCTCTGCAGTAATTTTCCTTAGCGCTTTTGCAGAGCAGCCCTCTCCTGCAGCTCCTGCTGAGGAGGGGAGGTTGGCGGCAGTGCCGCGGGGTCCTGGGGCCGCCAGCAGCTGGGGAGGGAGCCTGGGGGTCTGAAACCAGGTCCCTGAGGGTCCTGCTTGCTGGAGAGCTGGTGCGTGGGCAGCTTGTTGTGGCAGGTGATGGAGAAGTGGTGCAGCCCGGGAAGGTGCTGAGAGCAGAGCAGGACGGGCAGGAAAGCCCAGCCGGGACTGTGGGATGAAGGGAGAAGGGCTGTAAAATCTCTGGGGCATTGCTTTGCAGGGGTAGCATAGCTCGGGGGCGAGCAGGCTCCTGCGGCTGCATGGGGGGGAGGCAAGGGGGGACCCCATGAGGCCCCCCCGGGGCTGTCCTCGGGGCTGCTGCACATCACAGGGGTGAGGCGAGCCGGGTCAAGGCCGGGGGAGGCGCGGTCTCCCAATCCAAACAGCTCAGTGCAAGCTGCCCCCAGCCCCCTGCCCACCCGCCGGGCATCCCAGGCAGGGCTGCGGGCAGAGGTGTGCGCGCAGCGTCGCTGTCTGCGTCTCATCCTGCCTCTCCGTGGAACAGGCTCTGCTTTCTTGAATCACAAACCATAAAACACCATCTGTAATTCTGAGATTGGAACACATACAGCCTCTTCGTTTCGTTAATCAAAGTGTGGCAAGCAAGACTGCAGCGCGGGCAGCTGCCTCCTCCCTGGGAGGGTGACCTAGCACCAGGCTGGGGAGCAGGGCTCAGGGGTCCTCCCACGGGTCCTCCCCAGCCCTGGGGCCAGGACCCCCCTCCTTGAGCACGCACTGGCCCCTGGCTGTGCTCTGCGACCCCCCCCAGACCTGCCCCAGGCATCCCGGACAGTCGTGGGGGGAGCAGGAGCCAGCACAACCCCCTGCTTGGAGAGACGATTTCACAGTAGGTAACAGGGCTGATGTGTCTGAGAGCCTTTTAAATGGACATGCCTGGAGATATGTGTCTGAAGATTAGGGCTTCACGTTCCCTCCCCTTGAGCTTTTTTCCCACTTTTCCCTTATTTCTCAATTCTGGAAGGACTGATGTCCCTCCAGCTCTGAGGACACCCGCCCAGGGCAACTCACGGGCCATTTAGTACCTGTGTGGAAGTTTGCACAGAGCAATACTGTTCTATTTCTCCCTCCTGACACCTCCTGGAGATGCTGGTGGGCAGCCCAGGGCAGGCTCCAGGGACGGCTCGGGCTGCCGAGGCAGGCACCAGCTCTCAGCACAAGGGCAGCCGTGCGGAGGGGCTGGGACAGGGACAACCAGGTTTTGTGCTCAGCATCACCCCTGGAGCAGCTGGGACCAGGGAGCGGTCTGGGATTTCCTTGCCCAGCACCACAGCTTCGCTCTGGGCCTGCATTTATTTTTATATAGGGTAGGAGGAAGAGGGCTCATCCCTACCAGCCAGCTTTACCTATATGCCCTCCAAAGCAGCAGGGTGGCCTCTTCCCAGGCATGGAAGGAACCAAAAATTGCATATCTAGCAGATAAACTTGTCTCCACCATCCTGCTGGTGGTCTAATGGCAAAGATGGCAAAGGGGAGCTCACCATGCTCAGTGCAACGCCTTCATCTCCCCAGACTCCACCAAGAAACTCAAGGATGTCCTGGAGGAGTTCCACGGGGACGGCGTCCTCTCGAGGTACAACCCCGAACAGGTATGGCCCTGTCCCCTCCGCTCTCCCCCCACGCTGCTGGCAGCTCCCGGCCCCCCGCCAGCTCCCCCAGCCCAGCTGCCCCAGCTAAAAGCCGCCGGGAGAAGGCAGGTCTGCCTGTCTGCCCCCCCCCCGCCTCTCCCCGTGGGCGTACTCCGAGGACGGGGAAAGATGTTCCCACGGATGGGGAGCATCATTCCCAGACCCCAGGCACGTTCCCCACCCCAGCCATCCCGGGGACCGGGCTGGCCCTGCGGCCACCCCACTCCATCCCACCCCATCCCACAGATGCTGCCGGGTCCCCGTGGCCACGCTGCCGTGCCGTGCTGGCTGCAGGCTGCCTCACTGAGAGCGTTTTGGGGCATCTCTTTGCTAGGCAGAAGCCGGCAGGGATTTACTCTCTCTTCTCCCAAAACCCCCAAATGATTTTGCTGTTGCCACCTGTGGGAGGCTGGGGTTATTTTTTTTCCGAGCGGTGCTTTCAGAGAGACCTATTAGTGTGCCAGCAGGTCACAGCCTTTCACAGGGGCCATAATCACTAGAAATGAGGTAAACTGAGAAAAATCAGTGGGCTGAACATGGCAAGGAGGGGCAGCAAAACTACCCAGTTATTCAAGGGCACCGTGGGACCCTCGCTCCAGCTGGGGCCACGAAAGCCATCGGGAAGACAATGTCCCAGTGGGATGGGGATGCCCAGCGGGAGAGGAGGAGGCGAGGAGACCTCGGGAGGATGATAGACCCCAGGGTCTGGGGGTGGGCTGGAGGGTCCCAGGGGAGCGGGAGGCTTTCAGAGCATGGCTTGTTACACCCCTCTGCCTCAGACACCCCCAGCCTCCTTTGGCCCTGCCAGAAGGTCTCTACCCTGGCCGCCACGGCTCCCGTCCCTGCTCTGAACGCCGCTGGCCTGGCTCGGCCGCGCTGGCCCCTGGCAGCCAGCCGGCACTGGGGGTTTCTGGCCCTGTTACCTCTGGGTCCCCTTAGGCTCCCCTGCTGGGATCTGGGAAGTGGGTGGTTTTGTGGAGGGCTCTGCAGCTGATGTGCCCAGGGCACAGACCCACCCCCCAACCCCCCCCCCCCACTGCCAGCAGCTCTGCACCCCCGTGGCGTGCCTGGGGCACCTCCACCAGCCTCCTCTGTCCCCTCCCCAGCCCATCGACTACGAGGGCTTTCGCCTCTTCATGAAGACCTACCTGGAGGCGGACGTGCCCGAGGAGCTCTGCAAACACCTTTTCACCTCCTTCAAGCGTAAGATATGCCAAGGCTCCCCCGAGACGCAGCGCCAGAGCCCCGGCATCTCGCAGCTCAACACCCTCGGTGAGCCAGCCCTGCCCCTGCCACCCAGCCGGGCACCCCCGGGGACGAAGGTTGGTGGGGTGGCACCCGCAGGGGGTGGCATCGGGAGCAGCACACAGCCCAGTTCCACCCCATCTGATGGACAGCGTCCCAGGGACGCTGTGTCGCTCTGGGGAGGAGAGGGCTTTCCCCACGGTGGGGACCCACGGGGGGCACCATTGCAGTGATTCCTCCTTTCCCGCCGTGCGTTCAGAGCCTGAGTCACTCGATGCTGGCATCTCCATCCGGACCAAGGTGGCCTGTGCCCCTGTCACAGGTGTCGGTGCAGACGGCTGCATCTAGAGCAGGGGACATGTGCCAGGCACCCCCGCTTCTGCCTCCCCCGGCCCCTGCCCCGGCTGGATTCACAGCGTGTGGAGACATCTGCTGAAAGGACTATAAACTGCAAAAGAACAAGGAGCACCAGTTCCCCCGGGCGCTCAGCTGCTGCCTTGGAGCTCGGGAGTGGCAGTGGCTAGTGGTGGGGGACAGCTCCTCCCCGCCTGGTCCCGAGCACTGTGGTGGCCGGCACCCAGGGACAGGAGCGTGGCTGGGAGCTGCTGGGCCAGGCAGGAGGGTGAGGGGCTGCCTGCAGTGCCCCTCGGAGAGCCTCGGGACCAGGATGCCAGCCTGCTTTGTGGCTAGCAAAGAGGATCCCCGGGCGACTGACCAGCACCCAAGCAGGGTTCCTGGAGGAAGGGGCATGCCAGGCACAGGCATCCTTGTGTCACGCTGCCCATGGGCATATGTCTGCTTTGCAGGGATCAACGGGAAAACGCTCCTCAGCGCCCTGGGACGACACACTCCTGAGCCCAAGAGCTGCCACAACAACGCGGCTGAGCCACAGCCAGCATCCCTCACGCCAGCATCGATCCCCAATGCCTCCCCGAGCTGGTCCAGGTCATCCTCCCAGAAATCCACCACCGGCACCCCTTCTGCTCACAACTCCTCAGGCTCTTCGAAAATCTCCTCCGGGTCCCTTCTCAGCCCTCAGTCACCAGGTGAGCTTCCCGGTTTACTGAGCTGCCCCGTGCCCTGGCAGCAGCAACTGGTCAGGTCCCCGGTGCGGTGGCAGTGACCTTCCAAACTCGGCAGGTTCCTGGTGTCTTGACACCTTTACTTGGCAAACTTAAGCCACTGGTGCCATCCCACAGAGCCTCCGTCAGTCAATGTCTTAATTACCTGGCAGCAGCTCCTAGCAGGGGGGGCGGTGGAGGGGAGGGCTGGCGGGGGCCCCTCTGCCAGGAGCAGCCATCTGCTGAGGGCTGCCGCCGGCACGGGCGGCCGTGAGCATGGGCTGTCCCCGCACCCCAGCGAACCGCCCCGCCGCCCGCCGACCTTCTCGCTCCTTCTGGCTGGGTGCTTGTCCCTGGCAGGGCACGTCCCCGGGGGCTCCCACTGCCCACCCTGCCCGCACCTGGGGTGCCAGAGGGGCAGGGGTCTGCCACCCAGGGACCGACTGGCAGTGCCCAGCCCTGCTCCTGCGATGGCACCCGGTGTCCCCTTCACGTGCCCGTCCTCCGTGCCCCGCGCAGAATGGGTCCCTGCCCTGGAGTTCGTGTGCTTTCAGCCCCGTGTCCTGGCTGGGGACAGCTCCCCGGCCCCGCTGTGCGTGGCCTTCACCCTCCTCTCCCTGCCCGCAGGCACGAGGAGCGCGGAGAAGAGGTTACCCTTCAGCCTGCGGAAGAGCCACAGCTCCCTGAAAGCCACCCCCCCGCCGCCCCCCACCCCCCTGGCCCAGGTGGTGCACCTGAAGGACATCGTCTGCTACCTGTCCTTGCTGGAGAGGGGACGGGCAGAGGACAAGCTGGAGTGTAAGTGGGACCCTGGGGTCACGGGCTGCCGGTCACGCCACGTGGGGAGGGGGACCGGTGGCTGGAGGCATCACCTGGGGGGTTCATCCAAGGAGGGGTGCGGGGCTGGATGCTCCTGCTCACTTTTTAACGCTGAAAGGTTAAAATCGCTTGGAACACCCGTTCAGCATCGCCCCTGTGCTCCTGCCTGCCGGCACCCGTGTCTGGCAGAGGGGCAGCCGGGGGGGCCGTGGCTTTGCTCCGGTGCTCCGCAGCCCCGTACAGGCTCGGGCCATGTCTCACCCCGGCTGCTCCCACCCCACAGCCCCAGCACCGAGCACCGGCTGCCCAGGGCGCCCCGGGGCTGGGCTCTAACTGGCAGCCGTCTTCTCCTCTCCCTCCAGTTATGTTTCGCCTCTACGATACTGATGGAAACGGCCTCCTGGACAGCTCGGTAAGCCTTCCCTCCAGGGCCGCCTGCGGGGCTGGAGACATGCAGGGCCCTATTTGGGGTGCCTGCTCCCCCCGGTGAGGCTCTCCGAGCTATGGGAAGGGAGGAGGAAGGCGGCAGCATTTGCTGCAGGGCTGGGCCGTGGGGCTGAGGGATGCATGCCAGCTCTGCAGCATCCAGCAGCAGCTAGAAAAAATCCACCCACCAGCAATTGTAGCTCTACATCAGGTCACGGTGTTTCAGAAAAGGAAAAATCGTGCACAGCTTCCCCCTCCGAGATGTTTGTTCTTTGTCCTTTGGGTATCTCCCTTGAAACCCGTTGCAAATAGAAATCTGTTTTATCAGAGCAGTTTTTCCAAGGGAAAATCCACTGCAGATTTTCTGGCAGATTTTCAAAGGAGAAAGCAGCACCCACTGCGAAGTGGGGTGTTGCTGACCCCCAGGGCAGCCTCGGGTGTTTTGGATCATAGACCTGACACATCCCTGCTCGGGGCGGGGGGGCATGACACTAGACACACCACTCATGCCCAAAGCCATCCCTAAACACAGGGCACCGTTGTCTTTCTGTGCTCAGGAGCTGGATCGTATCATCAACCAGATGGTGCACGTGGCCGAGTACCTGGAGTGGGACTCCACCGAGCTGAAGCCCGTGAGCGCTGGGGCTGGGGGCAGCCGGGGGGCTGCGGGGGCTCTCAGCTAGAGCTGGCAGCTAGGGTTCATGGGTGGCATCGCCACGTCACCCTGTCCGCTCCCTCCTCCAGATCCTGAAGGCGATGATGGAGGAGATCGACTACGACCATGATGGGACCGTGACGCTGGAGGAGTGGATCCGGGGTGGCATGACCACCATCCCTTTGCTGGTCCTCCTGGGGATGGAGACGGTGAGTGCCCACGAGGGGACCTGCTTCCGCCACATCCAGCCCCCCCGCCCGCTCCCAGAGGAAAGCCCCGGGGCTGGCGGCAGAGGCCGGTGGCGATGGAGGACGTGTAGGGACCACGGGAGGGCACCCTGTCCCCAGCAACGGGCCACCCACCCGTCCAGCACCGCTCAGGCCCACACCAGCCCCCGGCTCCCCAGCCCCTGCAGACACCCCCCAACCTGCCCCTGCTGACTGGCCTTCACCCCCCAGATCTTCACAAGCTCGGTTTTGAGCTGCGGTCGATGCCAGCTGCCATGCCCAAGCAGGCTGGGTTTGCTCCTTGCTCTTGTAGCACACCCTGGTTCGATGAACGTTTAATCAAAAAATCAGATGAGCACCTAAAATGCCAGCTCCTCTCCTGGGGTGAGTTTCCAAGAGCAGAGGTGGGGTGGTTTGGGACCTTCCTTGTTTCCCTGTGTTGTTTCTTCATCCTTTTGGGCTTCATTTCATCGCGGTGCATCCCTGGCCGTCAGGTAACAGTCTGCAGGGAAAATCTGGGTTTCTGCTCCCCGGTGCCCATTCTGGTGTTTGCTTCCCAGGGAGAGACAATGGCAGGGAGGTCTTCTGGCAGGAAGATTCAAGAAAAGGGGGAATTTTAGGTGGCTCTGCAAAGCACTTGTGCCTGGACCCAGGTGGAAGAGGCTTGCTTTGATCACCCCGTGGCGGCAGTGTCCTGGCCCCAGATATGGAGTCACCGTCCCCGTGGCCAGGCTGCGCCGAGGGGCTGTGGGGAGCCAGAGCTTGGTGCCAGGACATGCCCGGGGAGCGGGGGGATGCGGCAGCAGGGGGAACGCCGGAGAGAAGGGGAGCAGGGGAGAGCCCACAGTCCTGCTGGGAGCGAACTCCCACAGATGCACTGGGAGCTTTTATGGGGCAAAAAGCTGCTAAAAGTGGCGGGCTGAGTGGGCTGGGATCCCCAGCGAGGAGTGACCCCCCCTCTCCTTCTGGTCTCCTGCCCCACAGAACGTGAAGGATGACGGGCAGCATGCCTGGAGGTTGAAGCACTTCAAGAAACCTGCCTACTGCAACTTCTGCCGCACCATGCTGCTGGGGGTCCGCAAGCAGGGCCTCTGCTGCTCCTGTGAGTCCTGGCACCCCATGCCCCCAGGTCGGGGTGGCCCCCGCCCCACCCCTGTGCCCCGGGGATGGGGGGACTTGTCCCTGTTGGTGCTGAGCCCTGTGGGTGCTTGCAGGGTGAGCGGGGAGGGGGCAGCGCCCACGCCGGGCGGTGATGCTCACCACCTTCTCTCCCACCAGTCTGCAAGTACACCGTCCACGAGAGGTGCGTGTCCAAAGATATCGCCTCCTGCATCAGCACCTACGTGAAATCCAAGAGAAACACAAGTGTGAGTAGGCGGCTGGTGCGTTTCTGAGCCAGTGGGTCTCTCGTGGAGCCCTCCCAGAGGCAGCGCTGCCGGCAGCAGCTGGCCCCTTGGTCTCCTGCCCTGGTCCCCCGTGGCATTTCCCCCTGGGATTTGCCTCCTGGGTCTTGGGCAGCAGCTCATGGGCATTCCCAGCATCCAGAGCCCGGCAAGGCAAGGCCCTGTCCCCAGCCCCTGGGGACCCGCAGGAACCCTGGCCCCAAGGTTTGCCGCAGCATTAGGTGAGGGGCGGGTGTCCCTAGTGTGCTGCCATGGAGCAGCACGGAGAGAAGGTGGCCCCGTGAGGGGCTGGTTTGCATCGGTCAGCATCCCTGCACGACAAGCCTCCCTCCGAAATCACAGCGGGAGCCCTTAGCAGAGAGGAGATGCGTGGGGGTCGGTGTCTGCAGTGCCCCCCCCCCCCCCCCCCCCCCCCATGCCTTGTAGGTGATGCAGCACACCTGGATCGAGGGCAATTCCCCTGTCAAGTGCGACAGATGCCACAAGAGCATCAAGTGCTACCAGGGCATCACCGGCCTCCACTGCGTCTGGTGCCAAGTCACCGTGAGTACGCGGGTGCGGGGGGCCCTGGGGTGCATCCTGCAGCTCACTCCACCCAGCTGGGCCCCGGGGGAGGAGAGGCTCACAAATGGCCGGGTGTCCCCTGCCCAACGTCCCCTTCCTTCCCGCCCCCCCCCCCCCCCCCCCAGCTCCACAACAAATGTGCCTCCCACGTGAAGCCGGAGTGCGACGGGGGCCCGCTGCGGGACCACATCTTGCTGCCTTCCTACATCTGCCCTGTCGTCCTGGTAAGTGCCCCGCTCCCCGGGGGCCGGGCGGTGGGCACCTGGTGGGGACGCATCAGGGACCTGGCAGGACATCGCCGGGGCTGGCCTGTGTGCCCTGTCTGCCGGCGCTGCCTTCCCAGGGCAGCACGCGCATCCCTGCCTCTGTTCCCCAAAGGACAGGCAGTCCCACTGCCAGAGATCAGAGAGCGACTCCCCCGCCAGCACCAGTCCCGAGGACAACCAGGGCTTCAAGTTCAACTCCACCACGGTGGACGGGCAAGGTCTGCAGGTAGGTGCCCACGCCGGGCTGCCAGCAAGCTCTGCTGCGGGTGCGCGCTGAACCCCACAGCGGCCAGGCATTCGTGCTTTCTGCCCTCCAGATCAGCCCCCGGCCCGGGACGCACCCCCTCCTTGTGCTTGTGAACCCCAAGAGCGGAGGAAGGCAAGGGGAGCGGTAGGTGGGGTCCTGCCGAGGGAGAGCAACCCCCCAGGGTTGGGGGCTGCTGGTTCCCCGGGCTGCCCCAGCACCTCTCCTGCAGGGGAACTGCCTCCACAGCATCCCTCGTTCCTCTCTTTTCCAAGGGTCCTCCGGAAATTTCACTACCTGCTCAACCCACGCCAAGTGTACAACCTGGATCGTGGCGGGCCCACACCAGGGTATGGAGATGCTGCGGCCGATCCTCCGCCCGCTCCCGCCAGCCCCGGCTCCCCCACGTCACCCCTTGTCTCTCCTGGTTTTCTCCAGGCTGAGCTTCTTTCGGGACACTCCGGATTTCCGCGTCCTGGCCTGCGGAGGGGATGGCACGGTGGGCTGGATCCTGGACTGCATAGGTGAGCAAGGAGCGGCCGTGCTCTCGCAGAGCATCATCCACCCACGTCCTTGGTGATCAGCTGCGCTGTGGGTTCCTGATACTCCCCCCGGCGAGAGCAGGGCAGGGGTTCTGCCAACAGCAACGCCTGCCTGGGGTGCCAGCCGAGGGGGGACGTGGAGTGGAGCGGGGAATGAGCCCTTTCCGCCCCAAACCTCTTTCCCCTTGAATTGCAGACAAGGCGAACTTGGTGAAACACCCACCGGTGGCCGTCCTGCCCTTGGGAACGGGCAATGACCTGGCCCGGTGCTTGCGCTGGGGAGGAGGTGAGGCCGGGCAAGCATGGCCTGGGGGGTGGCCAGCCCACGGGGACCATCCAGCTTGGCTGGGTGGGTGCTGTCCTTGGGGGAGGGAAGGCCCCCGGGCTCTTGGGATGAGGCCTGAGGCTGCATCTCAGCCCTGCCGCCTCCTGAAGGTGCCTCCTAACCCCTTTCAAAAAAAGCAGCCACCGCTTTCTATAACCCCCACCAGCAGCAACCTTTTTCCTCTGGGAGAGCTGTGCCGCTAGCTGAAATCTCTGCCACCGCTGCGAGGATCAGCAGGGCATCTCACCAGTGCTGCAGCAGCAGCCCCAGGCTCCCCTGGGTGCTCAGCACCCAACTACCTCCGGCCCCACGTGACGTGGCTGCGCTCCCTTTCCGCCTCCTCCAACCTCCCCCAACGCCCGCCTTCTTGCCCGTACAGGCTACGAAGGGGGCAACCTGATGAAGGTCCTGAAAGACATCGAGCACAGCACGGAGGTGATGCTGGACCGCTGGCAGATCGACGTCATTCCCAGTGACAGAGAGGCCAACGGGGATCCTGTCCCCTCCACCATCATCAACAACTATTTCTCGATCGGGGTGGTGAGCGCTGTGGGGCAGCGATGGGTCTTGAGGGCAGCCCGGGGCACAGCACACATGCATTTTCAGCTGGAGAGAGCAGCCCAGTGCAGGGCTAGCGACCGGTGCCCAGACCGTGCCGTGCCCACCGGAGCCACCCAGCCACGGCAAAGCGGAGGGAAGAGCTCCGGAGGCCAGCGGAGCAGGGGAGCTGTCACCTGGGTCCCCAGCACAGCCACGGCCTCAAAACCCACCCAGATCAGAGGATTCCCAGGGGCACTTCCCACTCGGCCGGTGGGAAACGCCTCGGCTGCTGTGAAGTCGCTGGAGCGAACCAGCCCGGCGGGTGCACTCGGGGGGTGCCAGCCCCGCACACTTCCCTCCCTGTCTCCTCCTAGACTCATCCTGAGCCCCCTTCCGAGCCAGCCCTGACTTAATTCCCAGGAGCAGGGGCTGGATCCTGGTGATGTTCCTCAAAGATCATAAAATCCTGTCTGAGTGTTTGGTGAAGCTCTACATTTGAGCTTGAGTCTCCCAAGCTGGGGGGCTCTCCCTCCTTACTCTTCCTTGCTCACGTTCCCAACCTCCCTCCATCTCCTAGTGTTCTTTTTCTAGTTTTATTGTAATCTGTAAGGGCAGCACTTAAATGCATAAACAGGCATGGAATCTCTCTCTTCCCAGCCAGGAATGTTGCAAGAGCAAGTGTGCGAGGAGATTAAATGAGGTTCAGGGAAGTTTGGGGAGGGGTTGAGATCGGCTGGACACCCCACCTGAAGCTTTTGCCGAGGTGGTACCCATCAGCAAAGCCCCGCTTTGGTGCTCGGACCTGCGTTCCCTCTTGCTTTTCTAACCCAGGACACTTAGAGAGCCCAGGGAGGGCGGCAGCCCTGTGCCACGGGGGCTTTCCCCAGCTCCAGGGGTCAATCCTGGGAGCAGCAGGGCTTTGGGGGAATGGCAAAGTAGAAAGAACTCTTCCCAAGTGCTTGTAGCGTTTTTGTTCCGGGCCGTGGGTGCCCAAGTGGTACCACCGCAGTGTGGGTGACCCACCCAGCAGTGCTGCGGGGTGCTTCTCACTTCACATCAGTTCCTGCTAATGCCTGGTGGCATTTGGTGACGTGAGTCGGGCTGAAATGCCCCGCACCCTGTGTAGGAGAGGGCGCGATGAGTTTCAGCAGAGCTGCCACCCTGGCAGGGGAGCTGGCAGGGTGCAGGGTCCTGGGGTGTCCCCGGAGCCCCACTGCCCCGCTGGCAGCCCTTCCTCAGCGTCACCTCCATGCAGAGCCCCTGTGATGAGGGAAGGAGGCCAAGTGCGCTACTTAGGTCTTGCTTAACGAGCCCATCTGGCTGGGGGTGCCTCCATCGCCCCGGCCCTGTGCCCCTGTGCCATGCGGGGGGCCGGCGGCGCGGGCGGAGAGCTGAGCCCCCGTCCCCTGGTGCATGCCCCCGGGGCGCAGAGAGGGAGGGTCTCTTTCCCCGCTGTGCCAGCGACGACAGCTCTGCGCTCCCTCTCCCCACAGGACGCCTCCATCGCCCACCGCTTCCACGTCATGCGAGAAAAGCACCCTGAGAAATTCAACAGCAGGTAAGGGCTGCCTGCGGGGTCCCACCCCCCCAAAAAACGTGGCTGCAGGGGGGATGCCCCACCGCTGTCATACACCACAGCAAGGGGGTGTGCCGGAGCCTGCTCCCCTCCCGCCAGGCTCCTCTCCCCCCTCTCCCCCCAGGACAGCCCCGGGGGAGACGGCACAGTGTTCGTCCAACCTTTGGGGACGGGCAGGGGACACCCCAGGCATAGCCGGGGGGCAGGGGCCAGGCACCGTGGGGGTCTGGGGTGCTCCTTAGGGCCTGGGGCAGTGTGGCAGGCTGCTCGAACTTGGCCACGCACCCAATTACATTAATTTGTGCTTTATAATTATCACCAAATTCCAGGACTGGCAGAAGCAGGCCAGGCAGCGAGGGCAGGGCAGGCAGCAGGTCTCAGCTCGCTCCCGCTGTGCTCGGGGTGCCTGGAAATGGTGCGATGGCAGCAGGAGCCGTGGCTTGCAACCCCTGTCCCCACGTTCAGAAATACCTGCTAGAAAAACCCCAAATGGACCAAAGCGTCTAGCTCTGCTCTGAAATTCAGGTCCCCTCGGCTCACAGCTCCCCCTCGAAGCCTGGCGCAGTGACTGATGCAGGGGATGAGCCACGGTCAGAGGCTGCCTGGCAGGGTGCCGGGAGGGTGAGAGGCAGGGTGCTGAGGTGGGGGACGTCCCCTCCATGGGGGTACCTGTCCCCAGAAGCCCCGCTGAGAGGTGACAGCCCACGCTCAGATCTGCTGAGAGCTGGTGGAGGCACCCCGTCCCATGCTGAGGGACCACCCAGCACCCTCATCCTTCCCCTCCGCAGGGTGTCAGAGCCAGGTCTGCCTTGAGCCCTCCCCCCCGTCCCACAGCACAGCTCCCCGGGGCCATGACACCGGTGGTCCCTCCCCACGATGGCTCGTGTCCCCATGGATGGCTCGTGTCCCCATCACAACAGCTCCGGAAAGGCTGTGGCAGCCCAGCCTGCCACCGGTTGGGTTGGGGGTGGCTGGAGCAAGGCACCGCTTCCGAGCAGGATGCTGTGAGGCATCTCTGTGCCCCAGGATGAAGAACAAGCTGTGGTACTTCGAATTCGGGACGTCGGAGACCTTTGCGGCCACCTGCAAGAAGCTCCACGACTACATCGAGGTGGAGGTGGGTTTCCTGGGATGGGCCCTGGCTCCAGCCGTGGCTTTTTGGGTGGTGTCACCCCCCGGGTCCCTTGGGCAGGGCATTTGGCTGCCTGGGGAGAAGGTGCCGTGGCAGCTTTGGCCTCTTACAGCGGTAGGAGGACGCGGTGGCTGGCAGGACCCGCTCTTCCACCGCGCATCGCTTGCTGCAAAGCCAGCCAGCTGCAGGCAGAAGAATAGCCCTGTATTCTTCCCCCTTTTCCAGCTGTATTTGAGAGCGTGCCTGGAATATTCTCGCTGTAAGCTCCATGTCTGCTCCCAGCCCTCGTTGGATGACATGGAAACAGCCTTTAATTAGAGCAGGGAGGAGGGCGCGTGGTTGCTAAGAGCGCTGTCATTTCTCCGCCAGTGCTGGGGGGTTTGGGCCCTGCTTGGCTGTAAACTTCCGCCTCTCCTTATCACTGGATAAATGACCCTTTTATAACTTAGGCTTGAGGGCGAGGGGAAAAAAAAAAAAAAAAACTACCAAAACCCATTGCTTGCTGCCAAGGGCTGGTGCAGGTCTGACCAGGCGGTGGGAGCGGGGTTGCTGGCGAGCAGAGGAGAGTGGGCAGAGCCCGGGGCGCTGGCCGTGCAGGGCGTGTGGTTGTGGGCAGAGGGACTTTGAAGCCTGTTTCTAGGCAGGGAGTTTTCAGCTCTTCCCAAAGCCCGAAGGGAGCAACCTGTGCCCTCAGCAGCTGGTGGGAAGGGGCAGAAACAGGGGCGCGGCCGTCTCGCCCCCTTCACCGCCCACACACCAGTGTCCCGGGGCAGATAAAATCCACATCTGTGGGGTTCAGTGCTGCTGGGGACGGGCCCGAGGTGCTCCCCTCTCCTTGTGAGGGGCTCTGCACGCTGCCCACCGAGCGTGCGTCGGCACCAGCTGCGCCGTGCCACCAGGAAAGCGTTAATCCCGCAGTATTTGAAGTTGAAAGCGGCAGCCTGTCCTCCCTCCGGCTCCCAGGCAACTGTCAGCCTTGCAGAGAAATGGCAGTTTTGTTTTGGAAATTGGCACTCGTTCCCCTCCAGCTCCTGGAAATGAATTTGCTTTTTTCCCCAGCTGCAAATTTCTACTTCCAGCATCGCTGCCAGTGCACCGTCAGCTGCCCCTGCTCAAAGAGCCCATTGTAGCTCGCTGGCACGCTGACAGGGGAGGGCTGCACAGGGAGAAATCGCTCCCTGCCCGCGTGCGCGTGGGCAGGCGTGGGCAGCCGTGGTCCTTGCCCCCCCGCACGCCCCCCACGCAGGAACAGGCTTGTGCAGCATCCCTGGAAATACTGCAGCCTGGGCAGCCCACTCGCTCCCATCCCACTGCGGCCGGGTCAGTGCCTGCTGCCTTGCAGGCAGGCAGGGAGGGTGCCTGTGGCCGGGGGCGACGCTTGGTCCAGCCGGGCGTGGGATGTCTTGTCCACTCCGTGAGGAATCGGAGCCCTCTCCCTCGGTATTCGCTGCTCAGAGCATTAGGATCTTTTCTGTTCCTGCAAACCATAATATCATATAAGATGCATTGAGGATGGAAGGATTTACATCCTTTACAAACCTTGGAGAGACAGCTCTTCATTCCCAAACCAGAAGATTCCTGCCTTTTGCTTTCAAGGCGAGGCTAAAAATAAGATCTTGGAGCATCAGGGGAGGCAGAGCAGATCTGAACATACAGAGACGCTTCCTCGTGTGCACACCCAGCTCCACATACGTGCGGCCGGCATGCTCAGTGCTCACCAGCAGTGTATTAAAAATAATCTCAAGACCTTCACTCTTTGCTAGAGGAAAATAACTGGAGCCAAAGCAGCAGCGGGGGTTCGTCAGCCCATTCGCATTCCTCTCGGCAAAGCAAGAGAAGGCAGAAATGCCAGCACATCACCAAAATGCAAAGAAAAAAAATCTGCTGGTATTTGCTGAAGTGTAGCGTGGCAGGTAGAGAGCAAATACATAAAGGAAAGTACAAATTCTCTAGAGAAAAGACAGCTGAATGGGAAAGTGGCTGCTTCCTCCAGAGGCTTCTAGAAAGGGGATCCAATGTCATCCGGGTAGCGTGAGAGTGAGAAGACCTGGAGTTAAGAAGTGCATTTCCATGGCTGCTGTTTTCAGTCTTGTGGGAAAGCTGCAGGCAACTGATATTTTACCTGTTACAGGGAATTTTCGGCTGGGGCAGTCCCACTGTATGACAGCAAAGCTGTGCTGCATGCAAGTGCACTGCCTTGCCGTTTTCTCTCCAAAACCAGACACCTCTCCCTATCGTTTCCTTCCAGCCTAATTTCTAGTTCCCAAATTGCGCTTGAAGACAAACGGGTTCGAGTTAGTTTTGGGGCAGCCAAACTTTCTGATTCTTTGGGTACAATTTGCACAAGGGGAGGTGGGGAAGCATGCGCTGAAGATGCTTGGATGGAGGTCGCTCCAGGGCCCAAGTGGTGTTGCATCCTATTTCAGGTCACAGGAACTGAGCCTGGCTGAGGTTTTATATAGTCTCATAGGAATTTGGTTTTCGAAACTGCTGTCTTGGACGTGTAGTAAAATTAATATCAAAATAGAGGGGAAAGCAGCGCAAGGAAGGAGAGGTGGTGGGTTGTCAGCCCTAGGAAAGGAAAGCCAGGGGGTACTGCCCGTGCCCCTCTGGGGCAGGTTTGCTCTGGGGACCGTCCAGCAGCACGCCGTGCTCCTTCGGTGGGGAGGGGAGGGGGCCGGACTCCCCCCCCCCCCCCCAGCCCCACAGCCTGATGCTGCCCGTGTGCCTGGCAGTGCGACGGGACCCTGCTCGACCTGAGCAATGCGTCCCTGGAGGGCATCGCCGTCCTCAACATCCCCAGCATGTACGGCGGCTCCAACCTCTGGGGCGAGACCAAGAAGCAGCGCGCTTACAACCGGCTGGGCAAGAAAGCGCCGGAGAAGCTGCACGCCACGGTGGTCACCGACGCCAAGGAGCTCAAGTTCTGCGTGCAGGGTGAGCGGCGGGGCCCGGTCGGGGTTTGTGGGGTGTGTTTAGCACGGGGGAGCTGGGCAGCCGCCAGTTCTGGCTGCGGCTCGGTGCCCGTTGGAGCTGGAGCGACAGCGCTGGGAGGGGTTGCTAGCAGCTCGCTGTCTTTTGGGGTGCTGGGGTGACCGCAACAACGATTCGTCCAAGCTGGCGGACGGTGGCTCTGCCCGCCTGGGTGTAGCCCAGCACTGCATTTACCAGGGCTGGTTTATGCCACGGTGGCCAGAGAGGACGTGGCTCCCATGCCCTGCCACCCACCTTTCCCCCCACCCTTCTGGGGTCACGGCTCAGCAGGTGCTCGGGTGGGACCCCTCGCCTGGAGGCGTGAGGCTGGGCGGCCCCTGGCACCCCCGTGGGGCTGGCAGGCAGCCGCTGCAGGGCTGGGCACCCGCTGCTGCAGAGGAGGAGCCGGCAGCCGAGCTGCGGAGCTGGCACCGATGGCTTTTGTGAGCATCTCTTCAGGCTGCGCCGCGGCGCTGCCAGCCCGGCTGCGGGGTTTCGGGGGCAGCACAGGCCCCGGGCTGTGCCCCAGCCAGCACCTCGCACCCGCTGCTGCCACCGCCGCCGCAGCCATCCCCCGCAGGCGCAGGCAGGGTGCGAGCAGCCCGAAGAGCTGGCAGGGTTCCCCGGCTCCAGCAAAATAGGCCAAGCGCCTGTATCTTCCGCCCACCGCCTCCCACAGCCCGGGGCTGGGGTGGGAAACAGTCCCCCCCTGCCACATGGCTGCCAGGGCGGCGGTGTCACCAGGCTGTCACTGGCTGTCCCTTGCCGGGTGAGGAATGGGCAGCGGGGAGTGGGGCAGAGCAAAGGCCGGTTCCGAAGGGTGGTGAGAGGCAGCGGGCTCGCTCCCCCTGAGCACAGCCCCGCTGGCGGGTGGGCAGGAGGGCATGGAGGGGCTCGGGGGGCTTCTCCTGGCGGGGGTTTCCACCAGAGGTGAAAGAGGGGACCCCAAAGGGAGCGAGAGATGGAGCGAGTTGCCCCGGTGCCGGGCGCTGGTGGCCGGGAAGAGCAGGAGGAGCTTGGAAAAGGGGCAATACCCTGAGGTTTGAGCAGGTAGATCCCTCCGGGTGAGAATTCTGCTGTGCATGCCGGCTCCTGGGGGGCTGCAGTGCCCCGGGACACCCTTGGGGGGGGGGGTGTGTCTGCTGCTGTTTCATGCAACACTGCAAACAAGCGGTTGAAGAGCTGGTGAGGATCCAGGCTGCCACCCTGCAGCTGTGCGGGACTGGGTGTGCTTTCAGACCTGGAGTATTTTTGCTCCAGGGATTTTGGACAGGAGCATTGCTCAACACTGCAAATGCCTAGCTCTGTGGCCTTGGGGACATCAGGTCACATCCCCCACAGTGCCACCAGCCCCGCTGCCCTCCGGAGTGGCCAGCAGCCCCGCTGTGCTGGCCCTGATGGTTCAGATGATGGCAGAAGGCCAGGGATCCTTGGGGATGGGGGGGACTGACTCCGATCCCTCTCCCTTGCAGACCTCAGTGATCACCTCTTGGAGGTGGTGGGGCTGGAGGGCGCGATGGAGATGGGGCAGATCTACACGGGGCTGAAAAGTGCTGGGAAGAGACTGGCCCAGTGTTCATCTGTCACCATCAGGTATTTGTCCCCATCCCAGCTGAGCGCCTGACCGACGGCGAAAGCTGGTGCCTGCGTCACCCTGCGTTCCCTCTCTTTGTGCCTTGCAGGACATCCAAGCTGCTGCCCATGCAGGTGGACGGGGAGCCCTGGATGCAGCCATCCTGCACGGTGAGTCCCCAGGGAGGGGACAGCTCTGCTGTGGGCAGCTGGGGCGGGCAGGGGCTGGCAGCACGGCGGGCAGCCTCAGCTCCCCACGCGGCATGGCAAAGCCTCTGGAGTTGGAGGGAGGCTCCTGCGCTTGGTGGTGGGTGGCCGCAGAGCCCAGGCACCTGTGACTTCTGTCTGCACCCGCGCTGGCCCCAGACTCATGGCGAGCCATCGTGGGAGCCGGGGGGACACGCTCAACGCTGGCCAGGTGGGGGGACGCAGCAGCAGCCTTTCCTGTGGGGGCTGCAGCGGAGTCCCCCACCATCCAGCGGGCAGCTCGGCCCAAGGAGAAATCCTCTGCCTGTCCCAGCGCTGCCTGGAGGTGGTTTTGGAGCCGTTACTCCTGTGCAGCAAAGCGTTTAACGACCTGGCTGGGGGGGCGGCAGCAGCTCCTCGCCCTGCCGCTGGGTGCTGAGCTGCTCCTGGCTCGCCCAGCTCGCTCCGCAGGGTCCCTGGGCTAGGGGATGCCTAGGAGGGCTCAGAGCCCAGGAGCCCCTTACTGAGCTGGGTTTTTCACTTCTTTTTAGGTCAAAATTACACATAAAAGCCAAGTGCCGATGCTGCTGGGCCCCCCGCAGAAGAGCAGCTTCTTTTTCCTGAAGAGGAGAAACCGAACTCGAGATTAAGCAGCATGCAAGGAGCTGCAGCCCAGAGGCACCCGGTGCCTGCTGCAGGGGATCCCTAAATCCCTGCTCCACAGCAGGGAGAGAAAACACCCCCCCTCAAGCCTGGTGGGGATGATTTTTCCTGGGAGGGTCTTGGAGGCTCCTTCCCAACCACCACAAGCATCTTCTCCAGCCGGGATGGAAGCGGTGGGCGAAGGCAGGCCGATGCGCAGGGAGCGTGTTCGCCAGAGCAGTGCTAGGACTGGGTTATTTTTCCCTTTATTTAAACAACACCCCCCCACCCGCCCTGGCAGAGCTGCAAATGAGCGCGCTCCTGAGAAGACGCTAAGCTTCACTTATTTATTTTTAATCCCCTTGAAAGGACACTCGATGTTTTGCTGCACTGGCTTTCTGTCCACCAACCCTTGCACATTGGAGAAGTTATTTATTTTCTTAGCCTAGAGGAGACGGTCTCTGCCATGCCTCCGGCTAGCGCTTCTGGACTGGGTTTTAAGCAGATGCAAAGACAACCTTTGCTGCCAGCCCATGGAGCCGCAAGGCGTGGGATGGGCTGGGGACAGACGGTGCCTGGGCCGTGGGGACAAGCGCGGGGTGGGTGGGAGGAGACCGTGTTTTGATGTGGAAATAACAAAAAAGGGATTTTGAGTGGGGGGGGGAGCTGCTGATCCTGGGAAACCCCGGCGCCCCGGCTCTGGGCTTCATGTTCATATTTATCTATTTATTTAGCAAACTTTGGGGGGGACAGTGGAGGTCACCTTCTTTTTACGAGCCTGGGTTGGACACAGATGCCACCTCCTTTCTTTGCTGGCTGTCCCTCACGGCACCTCCTTCCACGTGGACTCTCTCCTAAAACCTGCCAGCCTGCTCCAGAGGCTGGGAACCCTGGGGACAGACATCTAGAAGCACTTCTGGCTTGGAAGTGTCCCCCTTGCTTTTTTACACATCTCCTCCTGTGCTTTTCCAGACCCATGCTCCCCCAGCTCTCCTCACCCTGGCTGTTGGAGCCTGGCTGGGGGAACGGGTTGGGGACCCATGTGTCCCCAGCCAGGCACATGGGGACAGACTGAGGGACACAGCTTCTCCCCGGGATGCAACAGGGGACCAGAGAATGGACGAATGAATGTTAGGAGGTGGTGGTCTGGCTGCGCGCCCCACCACTTCCCAGTGCTCCCAGGAGCTGGGAGTTGGCAGGACCGGCCCTCGGAAAGGGCTGCTGGTTGCTTCTGCAGGCACCCGCTGGCTCCTGCGGTGGCCCTGCGTGGGGGGACACCCAGGTCCCGAATCAGCCCCTACTCCCAAGCAGCTCCCTTGGGTCTGGCGGAGGCCCCCATGCCGCTGTGAGCAAGCCAGGAGCGGCATGTGCCCCGTGGATGTTACTGCAGACAGGAAAACCGTTGCTTGTCCCCACTATGCCCCTCCACAACACAGGGAACCCTGGCTGGGGCGAGCCACCCTTGTCCTTCCTAGTGACCCAGCGCCCGGTCCCTCCTCATGCTGCAGGTCCCCATTCAGGAGCAGCACTCTGGCAGCGCAGAGGATGCTGCTGTCATTATGTTTCAGAGTGAACGGTGAGCTGGAAGGGACAGTGCTGTTGCGCGCCCCGTTGGAGCTTTACCTCGGGGCTGTTTCTAACAGCAGCCGTAGGGCCCTGCTGACGTGGGAGGAGGTGGTGGTGCCCCAGGGGAGCTCCAGCCCCTGAGTCCCCCTCAGCCAGGGCGCAGGAGGAGGCTCCGGTGGGCCACCGCCGCTCCCTCTCCTCCTGCCCTCAGCGCCAGGCAGGGCGAGAGCAAGCTGGGGGGCAGGTGCTCGCTGTGATCTGACACCCAGGGATGGGAGAGCACCGGAGACAGCCAAGAGGGTGGGAGGAGGGAGCCCTGTGCCACAAAGCGAGCGGGAGCGAGCATGGGCCTGGCCGGTGGGCGCAGGAATCGCTGCAGCTCACCGGAGCTATGACCGGCGGGCACGGGCACGCTCCACCTGCAGTGCATAAATCTGCCCTCCTCCTCCTCCTCCTCCTCGTCACCCAGGGCGGCTGTTAATGAGTAGCCAGGTGAAAGCGTATGGGAGCCGGGTCAAATCCAGCCCGTGTCCCACAGCCCAGCAGCCTCCGTTTCCCCAGCCCTTCCCCTGATGGCAGCTGTGCCTCACAGCCCCTGCGCTTGGGGAGGGCGAAAGAAAAAAAACCTCAGTCATCTCCCGAGCTTTGCCGGTGGGCGGGGTGATGGATTTGATCCGTAGGATGACAACACACGAGGTCAGCGGCATTTATAGCATCAGGTTTGGCTCCATTTCCCTGCCTGCTTCAGCATCGACCCGGGGTTTTATCCTAGGGCTCTGATTGGAAAGTGCCTGTATGGAATCAGCAACGGTTTTCACCACAGACCTGCTCCTTGGACCTGGTCATGGTTTGCTGGGCTCCAGGCAAAGTGCAGCCCTCGGGTTCTCCATGCTGTGCTTTGCCATCGCTGGTGGCGGAGCCTGGGGAAGCAAGCGGGCATCGTGCCCGTGCCGTGCAGTGCACCGGGGGCGAGGCGTGTTCATTTAAGCTTAAAGCCATGGGGAGCCCAGGGCCACCACCCTGGGCCAGCCAGGGTGATGACACACCAGCACTCGTCTGCCAAGATGGGCTCCGATAGAGCCATCCCCTCCTGATGATCAGTCAGACAGTCCCTGCCATCTTCCCCGGGGTGGGGGGGGGACATGACACACCTTCAGCCCGCTCCCGCCGCGCCAAAGCCGCGGTTCAGCGGGCCCGTCAGCTAACGACCTCCTTAGTCCAAAGGTGCAAAGGTCTCCAGCCCAGGAGGAGACACGCAGGGGCTGGGATGCCAGCCTGGATGTCCCTGGCTCAGGGGAGGAATACGTCACGCAGCCGAGGGACACGCGAGGCTCTGAAAACCCCTGTCCCCCTTGGTGGCTCCTAGCTCAGCCCCGTTCACTCACCAAAGGCCGCAGGATGGAGCGGGAGCCCCCAAACACCACCCCCCCCCCAGCCCCAGGCACCGGTGCCAGCGTGCAAGCGCCCTGCTGAGCTGGTGCCGTACTGGGGGACCCCTGAGAGCTGGGGAACCCCATTCCCCTGGGAGCCCCAGCCCCGTCCTCCCGCTGTGTGCGTAGCTGTGGTTGCCTGCATGGAAATGGCGTCCGTAGCGTAGCGCGTGTTGCCGTGTACATCTGGACTACTGTGGGCTTGCCTCAAATAAAGATGGTGATGAAATACTTGGCTGGTCCTGGGGTGCGCTGAGCTTCCCCAATTCCTGGCCAGGTGCAGGGTCCCCACCTTTGGGGGTGCCCAATTCAGGGCGCTGGAGCTGAAGGGGCATTTTCAGCAGCAGCGGGATGGAGCGGCACTTGGCGGGAGCCGCAACTGGCTAAATTTGGAGCCTGCAAATTTTTTTTTTTTTTTTTTTTCCCGAGCCTGCTCTAAATTTAGCAGGCGCCGGTAGCCATCCCCCCTCCCAGCTCTGGCTCTACAGGGGCTTCAGCTCTTCCCAAGACACCCCTGCGGTCTCCCACCCGCCTGCCCCAGGGCTGTGCTCGGTCCCCGCTGCCTCTCCCCGTGCTGGCTGGCAGCAAGAGCTCCAGGGCTGCTGAGCAGCCTCTGGCCAGTGCGGGCTCACAGCCACCTCAGGTCATCAGTTGTGCCCAGCTCTGCGATGACCCAGCTCGTCCCCACCTTGCTCCCGGGCCCAGGTTTTGCCACCCACCCGCCCGGGTGTCATCTGCTAATTTTACCGGTGGTGATTTAATCCCGGTTGCCTGCATGCAGAGGGGAAGTGAGAGCTCCGGAGCCTGCAGAGTCGTGTCCCCCCCCCCACCCCCCCCGGGAGCAGTTCTCGGGCAGCAAGGACACCTCATGCCCTCTGCGCATTTACCACCATCACCATGCCAGCACCCAGGGGGTAGTGGATGCTGACAGCCCCCCCATTTCACCTGGGGTACGGTGGAAGACAAGCTACCTGCCATTACCAGCATCCTCCCTCGGGGATGGTGGTGGCCCTGAAGGACCCTGGAAGCTCACCAGTACCCCAGCATCGACAGAGAAATTCCCACCAGCAGCTCAGAGACACGCTGGGCAGCTCTCCCATGACCTGAGGCTGAGGATTTCAAAATGGTGAGGACAACCCCATACCAACAGGCTTCCTAGGCCCTGGGCATCTTCCCAGGATTTGAGCAGAAGGGTCCTTTCCTTCCCAGGCTGAGAAGAGCAGTATGTAACTGAGCACTATCCCTTTTTTTGTCGCTTCTCCAGCAATAATTTCCCAGTTGCACCCCACAACAACGTGAGGCCCCCACGCAGTTCATTTATCCTGTGCAACCTGCTGCATCCTACACGAGCAGCCACTGGTGGGTGTCACCACCTTCAGTTACAGATGGGGAAACTGAGGCACCTGGCAGAGTGCTGCTGGGGTGGGGGGGCCAGGCAGGCCTCCAGCAGCACGGGTCTGTCCTAAACTCATTGCCAATCCTCTGAGCTATTTGCAGTCCTGCAAGGGCTTGTGTCCACGAATCTGCTCAGAGGGGGCCGTGGCCCGGGCAGCCCCGAAGCCCCTGCAGGTGGGAACTTCTTTTCCTGCGGCCTCCTCCCAAGAGCCCTTCTCAAAGGCAAACCTGGCTCCAGGGTGCCTGCAGGGAGAAGGGTGCCAAAGCCAGCACCCAGGCCTGAGTTAGCCCCGGGCTCGCAGGGGGGACCCGTGTGACGATGCCTTGCTGGTGCACAACTGCCTCCCACGAAAGCGGAGGGGACCCCACGGCACGTGCAGGGGGGACCCTATGGCACATGAGGCCCGACGTCCATCCCACCTCCACAGCACCTGCTGTGCGGCAGGTTCTTGGGCAAGGCGTGCAGGGGGCAAGGTCCCCCCCCGGGATACGGATCCGGCCACCTGGGCTGTCCCCCCAGGGCCGCCCGCTAACCCCCCAAGACCCACCCGCGGAGCGGGCGGCGGCCCCTTTAAATCCTGCGCTGCCCCAGCCCCACCCGCTAAGCCTCTTCCCCCTTCTATTTTTTTATGAATGAAAAACGTTCTCGGCGGGGCCATGCAAATCACGCCGCCCCCATTGGCTGCCGCCTCCCCCGCCCACCCAGCCGGCCTCAATGGCGCGGCGCGCGGGCGGGCGCGCCTCGGCGCTGCAGCCAATCAGACGGCGCGGGCGGGCGAGCGGCGGCGCCCCATTGGCCGGCGCGGAGGGTAAACAAGCGGCGCGGGGCGGGGCGCGGTGGGGGCCGCTGGCTCGGGGGCTGCGGGCCGGCGCAGAGCGGCAGCGCCGTGCCCGGGCGCGGAGCGGAGCGGAGCCTCCTCCGGCCCCTGCTCCGGCCCCTCCGGACCCGGCTCGCCCCGCTCAAGCCCGAGCCCGCGGCGCCCCGGCCCGGGTACGCGGGGGGTCTGGCGGCGGGGTGCAGCGCGGCCCGGGGCGGGGGCGGTGTTTATGAATGGCGCGGGCCGCGCGGTGTGAATGGCGGCGGGGCGGGAGGGGAGGGGAAAGGAGGGGTGGGGGAGCGCGCGCGCGGGGGAGGGGAAGGGCGGAGTTTATGAATGGGGCGCGCGGGGCGGCGTGGGAACGGGCTCGGCTGCGGGCCTGCAGCGCCGAGCACCGGCGGGGCGGGTGGGGGGGGGGGGACTGCGCGGTGTCGGCCCTGCCCGCCCGCCTCCTCCTTCTCCTCCTCCTGCTCCCACGGCGCGTGATGTCACGGCCGTTTCTATAGAAATTGGGTGACATCACGAGCCGGGGGGCCGCGACCCGCCACGGCAAGAGGGGGCCCGGCTCCCCAGGGAGGCGCGGCGGCCCCGCACCGAGCCAGCCCCGAGGGCGGCAGGGGCCAGGGCCTGATCCTGGCCCCCACCCACCCACCCCACCCTGCTTCTACCCCTCCAGCCGCGCACCCGCCGGAGCCCGGGCCGGACCCCCCTTCCCGGGCCGGACCCCCCCTTCCTTCCCGGACCGGCGTCGATGCTGAGCGGGCCGGGTGCTCTGCCCACCTTCCCCGCACCATGGATGGCTTCTACGACCAGCAGGTTCCCTTCATGGGCCCCGGGGTAAGTTCGCCCTGTGCCCCCTCTCCCCCACCCTGCTCCCTGTTGGTCACCCCCCAAACCCCCCATCCTCGGGGACCGCAGCCCTCCCAAACTGCTCCCGCCCTGGTCTTTGCAGAAGTCCTGCGCAGAGGAGGGCCGAGGCCGGCCGGGGTCCGATAGGAAAAGGAAGTTTTTAGAGACCGACCTGGCCCACGACTCAGAAGGTAGGCAGGGCTGGCCTGGGCAGCCGTGGCCTGGCTGCTGCCCCGCAAGACCGCTCTCCTCGCGTCCGTCGGTTTAGAAATAATCCTGCGAATAATGGCAGTTTTATTCTTCCGTGGAGCACATGAGTCTTTCACTCTGTTCCAGAGCTCTTCCAGGATCTCAGCCAGCTCCAAGAGGCCTGGCTAGCTGAAGGCAAGTGTTCACCTCTGCCTTTTGCCTTGTAAAAATCTCTCTGCGAGGGTTTGGGTTGGTTTTTTTTTTTTTTTTTTTGAGAACTGAGCAATGCCATAAAACCACTTTCTTGTTTGTTTTTTTAGCTCAGGTCCCCGATGACGAACAATTTGTCCCAGATTTCCAGTCTGACAACTGTAAGTGATTGTTCTGGGTTTTTGTTCTCTGGGGGGTAATTGTTTGGGTGCCTGTGCAAAACCTCGCGCTGGGTTTGGAGCGGCTTCTTTGGGAAAGTGGTTGTTGCTGGGGCTGAAACCATGAAATCACAGACTTTTGGGAGAAAGCATGTGCGGTTTGGGTTCATCGAGATGAAACTTGCAATGTCCTGTTTGTTGTAAATGGGGAATATCATAGCCAAACGCATCGAAATAGCTCTAACTGATCTCTGGGCCCCTCTGAGACTCGCTGCTTGTTCATAGTAATGTGGATTTGCTTATAAACACTCCTTTTCCTTTTCAAGTGGAAGTGAGAGCCCATGCTGGGCTCCTTGGTTAGCCACAATCTCTGCAGTTTCTGGAGATTTTTACAGTCCTGGCCCAGCTCTTGTTGGCAAGAGCGGACCTGAGCGGTGAAACTTGAGCCGCTTTAAGCAGCATTAATCACTGGCAAGCAAGCACGTTTAAAAGGAGGCCAGTGAAAATGCAGTCCCTCTTGAATTGCATAAGAGCGAGAGTTGGTTCGGAGCCGCGGTTCCTTGCTGGAATGGGTTAGTGGCGAGGGCAGGGGCTGCTTAATGGCGTGTGGTGCTCGCACGGCTCTCGGGCGCTGGCTCTCCTGGCAGTGACGGCGCAGTTGGAGGGGAAGCGGGGTGGGGGGATCAGGATGTTTTGAGTCGTTACCTGGCAAGCAGAAGTAGTAGCTTGGTTTTGGTGGCTGGGTTTTGCTGCTGAGCCAGACAGCTACAGAACTTAAAGGAAATCAAATTTAGCCTGCAGTCGAACAGATTTTTTCATTCCGGCTTTGTCACAGCATGCAGCCAGGGTATCTTCTCCTACAGTAAATGCATGTTAATTATTGCTCTTTGATTACTTCTGAGTGGGAAGCCTGCCATTAAACTGTTCCAGACAGCCCAAGTTTCAGATGCACTTTTTTCCTTGTCTCCCCTGAGATAAAAGGCGAGCCCAAGAGTCAGAAACGCAACTGGCTGTTGACATCCTAGCGCAGCCCAGCAGCTCTCGCTTGGAGCGGTAGAAACTGCAGCGTGCGTGGGAGGGTGGCTCTTAGAGCTGAAGCTGTTTCCAGTGCCTTTTGGCAGTCTCTTGTTTCCTTGTAACCTGAAGAGCTCAGAGAGAAGAGACAAACTTTTCTGGGCAATGCAGGGAAAGGAAGAGGGGAGGAGGGGGGAGGAAAAAGGCATTTGGTCGAGGCTCTTAGAATGTTCTCCTGACCTGCTCGGCCTCTGCGGACCTGGTGTTGAAGTGACTTTGTCACTTGAAAGGAGATCTCCCGGCGTGACTCCTCACTATAATAACCTTCCTTCATTTTCCTGGAGAGAGAAAGCAAAGGTTTCCCTTGCTGCTGTGCGAGGGGCTGTGCCGGCTGCAGGGGCAGCGCTCAGACCCTGGGGTGGAAGGGGACAGGGAGCCTGGCTCTTCCATACCAGCACTGGGGAGAGTTGAAAGAGGAGAGAGTCTCAAGCTTCCAGCTTTCTGGCCCCATCTTCTCCTTTCACTCTGGTTTGGAACTGTGTGCGATGTAGGAAGAAAGAGGGGGACGAACCTGGTGCAGCCTCCCCCCTACGCCTGGCTTTTGCTAGCAGGGATGTGATTCTTTCCTGGGCTAGGGGGGGGGGTGAGGGTCACGTTGGGGTTCAGTGCCTGTTAGCTCCTGGGGGAAGGTAAATCCTTCCCTAGTCCGTATGGCTGCTTGTGGATGAATGCTGGACTTGGTTCCCACAGTTGTGTAGCTCTGTGCCTTTTCTGCGAGGAAGCTGCTGCTCTCTCATCCTGAGCAGACCAGTTCCACCTCCTGCCCAATGGCCCTGGCGTTCCCAGGGCCAAGCTTCCTCGGCACAGCAGCAGAGTCAAACTGGGCTCAGTTTTTCACCCCGCTGCCGTGGGGAACGCCGCCACGTGTGCTGGGTCGAGTCCTGGAGGTGCTCCGAACTGCGGCACCGTTCTTGCCTCGCTCAGAAGCCCTCACTGTGCGGCAGCTGCCTGCGGCTCAGCTGCTGCCCGCTCGCCGTTCCCGGTTCTGTAGCCGTGGTCCCTGGCAGACATGGGCGTAAAGTTGGGGTTTGTCAGCAGAGTGCCGTGACGCTCCAGAGGGCAGCGGGTCGCTGCGCCGGGGAGGAAATCCCGCCGTAGGGGTGGGGAAGGCAGGGCTCCCCTGAATAAGGGATGCGTTGTTCTTGGCGCACTGGATTGAACAGCAAAAGGCCAGATTTGGTGCTTCTAAGCTACCCGGAGAAGCAGCAAATTATCCCAGGAAGGCAAAGAGGCCGTGGGTGACTTCCACAGAGCTCACTGTGCTGACTGTTGTGCCACATGCGTGGCCGGGCGTAGGCGCGGGTTCACTGGCAGCACAGCGCTGGGGAGAAGGGTATATGTACAGTGTTTTATCTCAGTCAGTTGTTTAAATAACTGGGAAGTGATGGGGTCGTGCTGGAGAGATCAAGCATCACGAGGGGCTTTGCCTTTTGCAGGGGCTTGCTCCCAGGGGGCTCATGGCCCCTGGCATGGGCAGCGCGTGGCAGGGCGCGGAGCGGGGCTTTTTTGTACGCCGAAATGAAAGCAGGAGGTTTGTTTCTGAGGAAGGGTTGTTTAAACAAAGGAGAGCAGGAGCCTGGCTTCTATTTCTGGCTCCTCTCCTGGCGTGACCTTGGGTGCGTCCTGTAACGCTGGGGGATGGAGGGGCAGGCACGGAGCTCCGTTCCCAGGTGACAGCTTGAGCGGGTGCCAAGGTCCCCAGCCGGTGGCTGGGCTGGAAATGGTGCTTCGGTTGCCTTCCCCGTGGCTTGGGGCAGCGGGTGCCACCGGCAAAGCCAGCGTCCTCCAGGCTCAGCCTCTCAGAGGTCCCGTCACGCTGACGGTGGGGAACAACCCGCCCTGTCCCCCACCAAGAGATTCACCAGCAGTTTAATACCCCAGATGGCTTTGGGGTGTCGCCTTTCCCACGGGGGACCTCTTGGCTGCAAGCTGATGTTTGAGGCACCTCCAGCTTGGCTGCTGTACACCTGAGCCCACCCAGCTTGCCCTCCCGGTTGTGTCCCCTTGCTGACTGGGCACACCAGTGCCACGCGTGGCCGGTCCCTTTCCCTGGCCCTCCCCAGGGGCTAACGCTGCCCAGAGAGGGGCTGGCAGGCACCTACAGGTGCTCTCGCTGCTGCTGTGGCCCCGGGTTGTGCCGAGGCGTGTTCTCCAGCCCTGCCTATAGTTAAGCTGCTCCCTCTGCCTATTTTTGTATTTTTTTTTTTTTTTTTTTTTTTTTTTTTAGCTTTTAAATTATAGTGCCGAGCGCAGGACCGGAAAGGTTAAAAGCACTCGCACACCCAACATGCTTTTGAGGCGTTGGGCGCTGGGGCAGGGCACCTCCTTTCCCCGGACACCCTCCTGCCACCTTCCCTGCTCCCTGCGTGGCCACGGGGGACCCAAAACCAGCCCCTTCCTCCCGAGAGCCACACTCCCGGCCTCAGAGCCCACCGTGGCTCCCGCCGGCTGGGAGCTTGGCGGCAAGAGCGTGCCTTGCCGAGCAGTGCCGGCTGGCCCCGCCGTGTTTGTGTAAGGAATCCAAACGTTGCACAAAGTCTGGGATTGGCCAGCTGGTCTCTGTTAGGATCTTAAGGCTCGTTTCCCTTTTCTTGAATGGCAGTGTTAAGCTCTGGGGAAATTTTTTTTTTTTTTTCTTCTTTCTTCAGCCACATGAATGGAGCGCTCCAAATTGTTTATGAATGGAGGGTGGTGCCCGCTCAGAGAGACTTTTTTTTTTTTTTTTTTTTTTTCCTCCCTCAATGAATAACCAGACCCCATTGTACTGCTGGCGGAAAAACAACTCGCTCCAACAACATGGAGCCTGTTAGGAAGAAACATGCCCGCAATAGGCAGCTGGAGCCCTTCCAAAGCCAGCTCCCCATCGCTTTCCCGTGGCTCCTGGGGTGCCCGGGCTTTGCTGCCGCCGTGCCGGCCCCCCATTAAGGCTAAAAATGCTGAGAGTGGCAAAACCTCACTGGGGGGGGGGGCAGGGAAGGAGGAGGGGGGGGGATAAATCTGACTTGGGAGCGGGTGGAAGGCGTGCAGGGGCTGTGCTGGCTCAGCGCTGGGCTTTGTGTTTCAAATCCTCCTGGTGGGGTGCTGGGCCCTTAGGGGTGGGGGGGGGTTGGTGGGTAGAGAGAGGGGGGTCAGCAGCTCTTTAAAGGTTTTGACAAATTAGGGGAGCAACTAATTACCTGGCAAGCTGTGAACAGTTGTCCTGGAGCTATTTGCTCCTCTCCACTGTAGCTGGGCTGTGTTTAGACTTTGCATGAAGCTAATACTCCACTTCCGATTAGTCTTGGCTCTCCTCTGCAGGCACTATTTAGGTAAAGATCTCAGAGGCGCTTTCCCTTTCCTAGAGCGCCTGCTTTTAGAAATTAATTAGGTTAAGCCTCTGTTACTTGGTTTAAAATTATATATAGCCAATGGGCTTGGGGGGAGCTGGGAAGGATTTGGGTTTAATGGGACGTTTGCCATTTGAACTCATACAATTGTGGGACCCCGGGACTGGGTCCCCTTGGAGCACCTGGGCTGGGAGAAGGTGGGTCCCATTTAGCCACTTGCCAACACTCTGGCCAGCTAACTGGGAGCTGGGTGTACCCCCATGGGAGTGAGCGGGTCGCTGTCCTGCTTACAGGTTCTTGGAGCTCCAGGCTGTCAGGCCCCCTTGTTCCTTGCCCCGTGGCTGAGGGAGGCAGCCGCTGCCTGCAGTGCCTGGGCTTGTCTCCCCTTGCTGAGGGGCTTGTGGCCTGGCCTGGGTGTGTGTCTCACCCACGGCTGCTGTCGAGCTGCCTGCTCCCCTCTCGCAGCCCTTGCTCTGCCCCTTCGTGCCCTGTGCTGTTCCCCTCTCGCATCGCAGCAGGGAAGGGAACGATTACCCCTCTGTGAGCGATGCCCTGGCACGGCGGGACTGTCCCAGCCCTGGGAGCTCTGCCCGTCCCTGCAGAAGTCAGTCCCGCCACCCCAGCTGGGTCCACTGGCACGGCCAGGGTCTGCTGGGGCCCCGTCCTGCTGTGGTTTGGTTGCCTGATGCTTCGGGGGTGTGGGTAATTTGCCACCGGATTTCTGAGCGAAGAGCTACCAAGGGGACGCTCCCCGGGGGCGATGTCCCCCCCCCCCCCCCCCCCCCGTCACCTTCTCCCATGCAGGTGAACCTGCATCCTCCTCTGTCTCGTTGCAGTGGTCCTGCACGCCCCACCGCCGGCAAAGATCAAGCGGGAGCTGCACAGCCCTTCCTCGGAGCTGTCGTCTTGCAGCCACGAGCAGGCTCTCTGCCCCGGCTACAGGGACAAGTGCCTCTACAACTGCTGGTAGGTAGTGCGGGGGGCGGCTGGTGCCTGCGGAGACCCCTCGGCTCATGGGGGGGGGGGGGCTCGTCTCGCTTGTCACCCTTTGCCACGCAGAGGTGTCCTTGCTGGCGTGGCCGTCAGCCCCACACACACACACCCCCCCACACACACACCCCCTGCCCCTCTCCCCTCCGCAGTGCCTACGACAGGAAGCCCCCCGCCGGGTTCAAGCCATTAACGCCGCCCGCCACCCCGGTGTCCCCGGAGGGATCGGCCCTGCCGCCGCCAGCCCCGGCCGTGCCCCATGGGCCGGCCCCAGCCCCACACCCGCTGCAGGAGCAGAGGCAGCAGACCTTCGCCGTGCCGCGGCCGCCTCACCCGCCCATGCACATGCCAAAGATGATGTCTGAAAACCAATACCCCACAGAGCACAGGTAAGGCCCCCCCCCTGCCCCGCCCAAGCGACTGCTGGCAGCTCGCAGGTGTTTAGGGGCTCTCTGGCCCTCTGGGGTGGATCGGTGGCCTCAAGCAGCGGGGAGGGAAGGGGGGATGCCCGTTTTCTTGCTGCAGCCGTGGCCAGATGCTGCTGCATGGGGGCCCGTGGAAACCAGCGTGGCAAAACTTGCTGCTTCTCTCTGGGATCTCGTGGCTTTCTCTCCACACGAGGCAGCTCCCTGTGAATGGGGACCTGCTCCTCCCAGCCCCGGGGGACACCGGGCAGACCCTTCGCCTCCCCCTCGGGAAAGGCGAGGGAGGTAGAGGCATCTATCCCTGCGGCGGCAGGTGATGGTGCTGAGTCAGGGCCCCTGCTCTCCTCTCCCACCCGCTGCAGCGTTCTGCCATCCGAGCTGAGCCCTGCCAGGCTGGGGAGCTGCAGGCACCCCTGTCCTGCCCCTGAGCACCTCCGGGCTGCAGATCAGTCCTTAGCTCCCCCGTGCATCGCACAGTGTCCCCATGATTTTGGGGTTGCGGAGGGAGACACCTGCTCCCCATTCCCTCTTCATGCTGTGTCTTTGTCCCCCATCACCCCTGTGTCCCCCGAGGCTTTGCTGGTCCCAGGTTTGCTCGTGGTGTCGATCGGTGGCATGGTGTGGGTTACAGTCAGCCTCTGGTTTTGCTTGTGGTCTCCTGGGTGCCCTTTGCTGCAGTGACGGCTGCCCTGTCACCAGAGTGGGGGGTGTCCCCTTTGGGCATGGGGCTGGATGTGGCAAAGACAGTGCAGTGGACATGCCCGGGGCAGGCAAGCATCCCTCCCCGGCGAAGCGGGGCTCAGCTCCGGGTGATCTTTGAGCTATGCAGGCGGCTGGCCGCGACCCCTCGGGAAGTGCCGTGCCAGCGTGGGGCTTGGGTTTCACTCAGGAAGGGCAGAGGGACATGGCTCGGAAATGGAGTAATCCCAGCCCGGCAGCTGGGAGGGCTCTGGTTACAAAGCCAAATGGTGCATGGCCGGCCAAGAGGAGCCGGGTGCGGAGATCAGAGATCGCCTTTCAAGGTGCTGGAGGACGAGGGGATGCGGCAGCACCCCCTGGAGATGGTCCCTTATCGGCTGCTGCCGGCAGAGACTCTGCTGGGGCTCGGCAGAGACTCTGCTGGGGCTCGAGCTGGCGGTGGCAGCACCCTGGAGCCGAAAATAGTGTTCCCTCCTGCTGAGTTCAAGGTTTAATCCCAGCCGTGCAGGCAGATTAGCGGCTGGCTGGAGCTGCGGAGCGGATTTGGCTTTGCGTAAGCGCCCGCCTGGGTGCAGCATCCCCCCCATGCCCTGCGGCTCTGCCCCGCCACCCTGGAGGGGAGATTTTCCTGGTTTACAGAGATTTTACTGTTGTAGGGTGGGTGTTTTTTGGTTTTTTTTCTTTCCTTTTCCTGCTCTTACCCAGATACTCCAGCTGCAGCACAGGGCTCCTGTTGCCCAAGGTGTGTGGCGCTCTGCGGCGAACATGCTGCCCCGCTCCTCTGGTGGGGGGGGGGGGGGGTCCCCGGTGCTTGGAGGGAGGGGGGATGTGGCTCCCCAGCACCCCACTGGCTTCCCCCCGCCACGGGCTGAGCCCTCGTGGTGGCTGTGCTCCCGAGGCACCGCCCCAGCCCGCTGCAGGTGGGACACACCACCACCCAAACCCACCCGAGCCAGCGTGGGGTCCCGGTCTGGGGTGGGATCCGGTGGGGTGCCGGCTGGGCTGACCCCGCCGCCCCTCGGTAACACTGTGGCCCTCTCCCTTCCCCCAGGTTTCAGAGGCAGCTGTCCGAGCCCTGCCACCCCTTCCCGCCGCAGCCCGGGGTCCCGGGGGACAGCCGCCCCGTCTACCACCGGCAGCTGTCGGAGCCCCTTGGCCCTGCCACCCCTCGCCCCCCTCAGGGATTCAAGCAGGAGTACCACGACCCACTCTACGAGCACGGTGGCCCCGGCCTGCCCGGTCCCCCCGGCCATGGCTTCCAGCCCCCCATGGGCATCAAGCAGGAGCCCCGGGACTACTGCATTGACTCAGGTGGGTGCAAGCCGGGGGGGGGTCAGTTGGGTGCTGGCACTCGGCAGGGAGTACGGGTTACACCAGCAGTGCCATCGCCACCATCCCTGGGTAGCACAGGGCTCGGCATCGGGTGCTGTGTCACCCCAGGTTTCCATGTTCCACCTGCACTGGTAAATGATCTCTTCCTTTTTTTTTTTTTTTTTTTTTTGGTTGTTTGTTTGTTTTAATGCCTTTTTCCCTCCTGCTCCCCCCCCCCTCTTTCCTTCCTAATGTGGAGGGGGATAGAGGGGCCATTCACCAGATGCTGTGTGGTGTGGTCTGTGCCATAGCTGCGGGCTGGGGTGCCCCACGGCAGCCGGTGGGTGTCCCCCCCCCCTGCAGCCCTGGCCTGGCGCCAGCTGTGATTTCTGGCTGCTGGACCCCACCAGCATCACGGAAAAATCCTCTAATCGCCTTAGGACCTAAAAATACCCCGACCTCGGGATGGAGGGTGGCACGGCCGAGCAGATGGCAGGGGAGGCGCAGCAATGCCTCCTTTCCTGCGGGGCCCGAATAACATGGTGAAAACCTGAGCTGGCTTAGACCTTGCTCCCAGTGCTCATTCTAGCGATATCCCCTCCGCCAAGATCATACTGGTGTTCCTCCACAGTTGGGGTGGGGGGCTGGGGGTAGGTGCAGTGGCTCAGGGTGCATCGCTTGCCCACGGGATGTGCTCGGAGGGGGGGGTGTGGGGGTGAAGGTGCTGCCGAGCGCTCGGTGGGACCCGCAGGACGTGTGTCCTTAATGCCACCTTTATCTCCCCCACAGAAGTGCCTAACTGCCAGTCCTCGTACCTGCGGGGGGGCGTCTTCCCCAGTGGCCATGATGGTGAGTGTGCCACTGGCCCCCTCCCGCTCGCAGGCATCCCGGGTGTCCCCCATCCTGTTCCTCCCTTGGGGCAGGCGGGCTCCCCTCCTCTCCTCCTCCCCCTCCCCACCATGGCTGGCAGAGCTGCTGGGCACCCCAAAAATCGCCTGCGAGATGGCACGTGCGAGCAGAACCTGTACTGCTGCTAAAAACGGGTCCGGTGCCACGCAGCCGCCAGCCCCCGCCAGCGTGCTGTGAGGCACAGCAGCGCCGTGCCGCATATTCTGACACAACTGTGCCCGAGAGAGCTGCTTGAAAAAGGTTTTGGTTCCCCCAGCTCCCTGGGGTGAGGCGGTGGGGGGACAAGGGAGCTGTGTGGTGCTCAGCCGGTCGGTGGGCTGGTGCAGTGCCACTGAAATAGCTGGGGATGGGGTCTTGGTGCTGGAGTGGGCCAAGCCATGGGGGCTTTGGGGTCCAGCCAGGGTGGTGGAAGGGCCCTGTGCTCACCAAGGATCTTTTTCCCCCCCTAGGATTTTCATATGAAAAGGACACACGATTGTATTTTGATGACACGTGCGTGGTACCGGAGAGGCTGGAGGGTAAGAATCCATCCCCAGAGGAGAGCTGGAGGGTAACCAGGGCTCGTGGAGGGAGATTTGGGGCCGGGCTCTGCAGCGGACGGCTTTGAAGTCCAAGCTGTGCTCTTAAGAGCTGCCGAGCGTCGTCCCGCACGGCCACCCCTCATCACTGCCATCCCCTGTCCCTGCCACCCGCCCCTCTCCTTGCCTGCCTACAGTGCCATCCCCAGCACCCCTCCCCTCTCCGCCCTTGTGGCCTCATCCTGCACGGGGAGGGTCCCGGCACAGGGACGAGCCGGTGTCGCTGTGCGTGTCCCCAGCTGGGTGGCAGAGCCAGGGGGGCTTAACCAGCCGTGTCTCGGTGCGGGCAGGTAAAGTGAAGCAGGAGCCCACCCTGTACCGCGAGGGCCCTCCCTACCAGCGGCGCGGGTCCCTGCAGCTCTGGCAGTTCCTGGTCACCCTCCTGGATGACCCCGCCAACGCCCACTTCATCGCCTGGACCGGCCGGGGCATGGAGTTCAAGCTGATCGAGCCTGAGGAGGTACGGAGCGGGGTGGGGGTCCTGCCCCCGGCGTGCTGGAGCTGGGCGGCCGCGGGGTGAGCCTGGGGGTGCGGGTGGTGGGGCTGGATCCTACGCAGCAGTTCACGCTCGTCCTTGACGCAAGGCCCGTGTCTTTATTCTCCGGGCAGCTCTTGAGGGCGAGAGGGGGAAGAGCCAGCCGCCCGTCTGCGCTAAGCGGCTCCAAAAAATTTGCCTTTAATCGCCTCCGCCGCCTCTCGGCACAGCCAAGCTGCGGTTGGCATTGCCTCTGTGCTGCACTTTGGGTGCCTTGCCGAGACCCGCTGCTCGGCCACGGCTCCCTCCTTCCCTCCTTCCCTCCTTCCCTCCTTCCCTCCTTCCCTCCTTCCCTCCTTCCCTCCTTCCCTCCTTCCCTCCTTCCCTCCTTCCCTCCTTCCCTCCTTCCCTCCTTCCCTCCTTCCCTCCTTCCCTCCTTCCCTCCTTCCCTCCTTCCCTCCTTCCCTCCTTCCCTCCTTCCCTCCTTCCCTCCTTCCCTCCTTCCCTCCTTCCCTCCTTCCCTCCTTCCCTCCTTCCCTCCTTCCCTCCTTCCCTCCTTCCCTCCTTCCCTCCTTCCCTCCTTCCCTCCTTCCCTCCTTCCCTCCTTCCCTCCTTCCCTCCTTCCCTCCTTCCCTCCTTCCCTCCTTCCCTCCTTCCCTCCTTCCCTCCTTCCCTCCTTCCCTCCTTCCCTCCTTCCCTCCTTCCCTCCTTCCCTCCTTCCCTCCTTCCCTCCTTCCCTCCTTCCCTCCTTCCCTCCCGATTCTGTCCTTTGCCCTGGGTCCCTGGCAGCGACGCCGTGCCGGAGCCGTGCCGCTCTGCAGGGGGGTGACACAGAGGAAGAAGCTGTTCGGGGACTAATTGAGAGCAGCTGTAGCGCTGAGCTGCGCATTGTGGGTAATTACCCATAATCTCTCTTAGGCCACGCGTGGAAATTGTGGTTTTTTGAAGCGGCTTTTTTGGCAGGCTCCCCTAATCAAACGCCTTTTGATTCAGCCCCCGGTTTGGCGGTGCTGTGGGAGCCAGCACTCAGAGCTGGAGCTTTTATCACAGCAGGCGGGGAGCTGCGCCGGGACCGTGGCGACGCTTTCACCCCTGGCTGCTTCAGCCCCCAGAAACGAGCCCCTGTCCTGTGTTTCGGTCGTGATCCCCTTCAAGGAGCTGAATCCGAGCCCCAGCTGGAGCCTTCAGGGCTGCTGCCTCTCTCCCCCCTCAGGTAGCGCGGCGTTGGGGTATCCAGAAGAACCGGCCAGCCATGAACTACGACAAACTCAGCCGCTCCCTGCGCTACTACTACGAGAAGGGCATCATGCAGAAGGCGAGTGACCCTGCTGGGGAGGGAGGGGGGGGGGGAAGGTGTGAGCATCCCCCGCTGTCACCCAGGTGCCCTGGGGCACAGCAGGAGCAGGGGTTAGGCCCCGTGGTGGTCGTGCTGCGCTTGTGAATCCCTTGGGTGGGGAGGAAGGCGCGGGGGCACTTCTCATGCCTTCCTCCTCCTCCTCCTTGCAGGTGGCCGGCGAGCGGTACGTCTATAAGTTCGTCTGCGACCCCGACGCCCTCTTTTCCATGGCCTACCCCGACAACCAGCGCCCCTTTCTGAAGACGGAGCCCGACTGCCCGGTGCCCGAGGAGGAGACGGTGCCGCTGACGCACTTTGAGGACAGCCCGGCGTACCTCCTGGAGATGGAGCCCTGCGGCAGCCTGCCCTACGCCGAGGGCTTCGCTTACTGACTCGGCCAGCCGGCGGAGCCGCGAGCACTAGTGCATCCACTTTGGGCAAATACAGTTTTGTAAAGAATCTTTTTTGCCCCTCGTAAGGAGAGGGGGGAAAAAAAAAAAAAAAAAACAAAACAACAAAAAAACAAAAACAAACAAAACAAAAAAACAAACCGAGAAACAGCGCCTGTGTACACGCACAAATTGGAGGAATCTAAAACGCCCTGTGTGTGTCACTGCTGAATTCCCACCCTTACTGTCCAAGGGCTAGTGCATAGGACTGCCCGTGGCTAGCACCTCCCGCCAAGCCTCGGCGTGAGGTTTTGGGGGCAACGGGAGCTCAAGCTGCAGTCTCTGACCCAGGCCCGGGGCCGGGCTGAGCCGGCGTGCCTGCCTCGCCACTTGTCACGACAATCTGCTTTGCATTGAGCGCGATCTGCGTAGCTGCCTTGTGTGGTGGAAAGGGCTTTGATTTGCACAGAGGAGGGATACGGGGGGGAAGGGGGGGGGGCAGCACCCTGGGGCTGATTACGCAGCATTCTACCCGCCAACCCCCAGGAGCCTTCTGCCTTCTTCCCAAACTGCCCCTCCCTGCCCCCCCCCCCGCCTTGTGATATACCTTGATATGATGGTTTCTCAGCCCCTCACGGGTCCTGTCCCTGCCCCTCTTCTTCCCCCTCCCCAGCTCTGGCTGCAGGCCACGGGTTGCATTTCAGGGGGGGAGGCCCTGACACACCCTTCCTTCCTCTTCTCCTCCCTCCCCCCCCTTTTATTTTTTTTTTTGATGTTTTAGGTAAAAAAAAAAGAAATGGTTTCTAAACTGATTTTTGTAGATTTTTTGTATTTTAAGGCAAAGCTATTTTTTGCAGCCTGGCTGCTGTTCCCAGAGCCCCTGGGGATGTTCCCCCTGGCTTTCCCGGTGCCACGCTTGCAAGGGGTGCCCGTGGCTCCCCAGGATGGCTGCCGAAGTATCTGGTCCACTCCATTTCACCGCTCGAGTCCTTTTCCCTGGGGGAGCCGGGGCTGAACGCTGGTGCCGGCTCTGCTGCGCTCCCCTCCCCACTCGGCATGGCCTCGGAGCTGGGCTGTAAGGCTGCGGCAGGCAGGGACAGCGGGGTCCCCCACCCCGCTTCCTTCCAGCTCCCCCCCTCACCCCCCGCTGCACCTCCTAAACACTCCTCCACCACTCATATATCCATACCTGCCTCTCCCCCAACCCCCACTGGCTACATGTTTTTGTTGTAAATGCTGTATAGGAAATTTTTTCTCTTACTTAGTTAGCTTTGGTTGGATTTTTTGATTTTTTTTTTTTTTTTTTTTTTGACTGATTCATTCTTTTTTTTGGGGAAGTATGAAGATTAACTCTGGGTAGACTCGGTTGCTCTCCCCACAGTGGCCTGTACCCGTGGGGAGCATTGAGTTGTGGGAACCCCGCCTTGGGGACAGGGTTTTAGCCATTTGCTCGGTGTGGCGGGTCTACAGTGTCGAAGGGGTTAATCTGAGGACTGATTTGAAATAATCTTTACTTGAGCAGGGCTGTGTATCTCCTGCAAAGCTGCATTACATTCTGTACTGTGTACAATAAAGGATCTTGCTTTCTGTTCCACCCTGGCTGCCTGGGCCCTGCTTTGCCGGCGCCTCTGGGCTGGGAGGGGGCCTCTGGCTGTGCTTGTTGGGGCAGAAGTGGTCCAGGGTATGGGCTGGCACTCAGGCTGTGCAGGGCCCCGTGCCCTCTGCATGTAGGAGCTGGGACCAGTTTGGGGGTCCAGGTCACCAGGGCAGGGCTGCCCTCTCCCCAGACCCGGAGCTGCTGCAGCTTTCACAAAACCATGTCCAGCAAGAGGAGTCATTTGCAATGCGGGCAGTTTCTCCCCAGTGGGGTGCAATTTAATACTGTCCCTTCCCAAGGGTTTCTCAGCTAGTGGGGCCAGCTGCCTCTGTCCCCTCTGCTCTCCCCCGGAAAGCCAAGCCCCCCGCCATCAGGCAGCTGGTGGGGACCTCTCGGTGTCATCAACCAGAGAGGAAAGTCCCCTCAGGAGCTCCTGGCAGTGATCCCCCAGCACTTACTGGCCCCATTTCTAGGCTGGGAAAAAGCCCCGTGGAGCAGCAGGGTCTGCAGAAGGCTGAAGGAGGGGGGTGGAGAGCAAGAGCTGCTCCGTGAGGACTTGACCCCGGCGATGCGCCCATGTTTCCCCTGACAAGTTAGAGAAAAGCTCAAACATCCTAGAACTGCCGGGGCATCTTGGTCTCTACTTTAGTTGGTCAAAGCAGGCTGAGCTGGGGCGGGGGGGACATACACACCACTGCCTCCCAGCTCCATCCCCATGCTGGGCGGGGGGAGGATGCTGCTGGAGGCACTAACAGCTCTTCTGCCGGCCCTTTCCACAGCCCAGCTAAACTCCATAGCTAGATGTGGCAGCAGAGAGATGGAAGGGCCTTATGTGCCGTGACGGTTTTTTGTATACCACGCCTCACCTCAAGCCACGCCTGGCTACCAGCCACATTGCTCATGGGTCCTTGATAGGCTCTTCTCCCATCGTACCTGAAGTATCCGGCCGAGCGGAGAAGCGTGGCTGTCTCCTAGCCCAAGAAGTGGGGCAAAGCAGTGTCCCAAACACCTAGCAAAACCAATTCACTCGGCATAGAGCCTTCCAGGAGTTAAATCAGCTGCTTGGCCCCTGAAGAGGCTTCCTCACACGCCCTAGGGAGCTCCGTGGCACGGAGCCTGGGTGTTTTGGCAAGCAAACCTCTAACTGATGCTCAGGTGGGCTCCCCTGTGTGGCCATCTAGAATCAGGGAGCCATTCAGGTGGGAAGGTGCTGCAGGGCCAGTCCTCCTGGGGCTCCAGGGACTGCGGGGACAGTCCTTCAGGGCTGTGGCAGGGTGGCTGGGAGCTACCCGCACCCACACGGGGCTCTCAGTACAGTGAAACCCCCTCCAGCTGGGGCACACCCCCAGAGCTCGTGCTGGCCTCCCTCCCCCACCGCCCATTTATATTTTCTACACAGCTTTGTCCTCTGATGAAGAGGGCAAAAAAAAAAAAAAAAAAAAATCAAGCTAAATGAGGGGGATGCGAAAAACCTTGCTGGTAGTCTGAGCTCCAGACTGTGCCCAGCAATCCCACCTTGATGGGGATGGCAGCCGACTCGAGTCCTGGTGCTCAGGCTGGAGCACGGGGAAAACGGGGTCCCCGGCAGCTGGCCCGGGGTGGTGGGACCACAACCCGCCTCTGTAAGGACGAGCAGCTCAGGGAAAACCTTCATCAAACAGCTTGTCACGCCGCAGCCCAACTGGCCCTGCAAATCCTAGTGTGGGCAGGGCTGGGGGGGGGCCCCCCCGAGCATCCCGTGTGCTACGCTTGCTGAAGAGTGAGGATGGGAAAAGCGATGCCTTTTTCTATTCCAACCTGTCAGTGCAGGACAAAAGGGTTCAGATCCCAGTGGGCTTCATACCACTCTGGCTTTATACACTCAGGGCATTAAGACTTTGCCCCTCATTTGATCCTGCTGCAGACCCCACCTCCCTCTGCTGCACACAAGAGGCGTTTGCTCTGTGCAGGGCAGGGGATGGAGCTGCCTGGGGTGGGTGGTCCCACTCACGCACCCCCCCCCAGCCCCTCGCCGGGTGAGGGACAAGCCACTGCGTGCGGCCCCCACCCCAGGGATGGGGCCAAGCGCTCTCAGGCAGCCCGGAGACTGGACTGGCATGTGCCAGGAGTTGGGGAGATGGAGAGGAAGCGGGTGGAAAAGCAACTGCCGCTGCGGGGTGCGGGGACGAGCCCTCCTCAGCCACGCTCCGGCGGGCAGTGGGATGGGGAGCCAGGCCGGGGAGCACCGCTGTGGCCGCTGCCACGTCCCTCCAGGACTGGGAACAGCCAGGGCCACCGCCGCTCCATCCCCAGGACCCCCCACCCTGGTCCCCTCCTTGAACACCCCAGCACCATCTGTCTCCTGCCTTCCTCCCACTCCCCACCGGCTGCTGGGGAGGATGAAGAGGTGTGAGCGGAGAGGATGGGAAGGATGAAGCAGCATTTTGGGGAGGATTCAGGCATCCAGGATGCGCAAAACCCTGGTGCTGGCATCAGCCTCTCCAACCTTCCAGCTCACAGCTTCCACCTCCTACTCAGGTCGTGTGGTAACACGACCATCAGTGATTCAGAGTGAACAACAAGCTGTGATACTGTGTGAACAGATAATAAAATGGCAGCTGGTACTGAATGGGGATAAATGTGTTTTTCCTATTTTCTTCTCTTTGCAGTCTTAGAATGTGCACCAAGCAATTCCCTCACTGGAACGAGAGCTCAGCTTTACCAGCTAGTCCAAAAGCTGTTCAAATGAGAGATGCATGTTAAAAATAATTTGGAAAAGAGTCACCCATAAAAAGGAGCACATCATCACATTCATAATTCACTGAGTGCGTATCTGCTCTCCCCGTCTCAGAAGGATATAGCTGGACTGGAAAACATTCAAAAAGCAATAGAGATAGCCAAAGGTCTGCAGCAGGCTCTTCTACAGGAGTGTATAAATAGTCTAGCACTTCCGTCTGGGGCAGGATTTGTGGCTCAGGGACTTCATATTTAATAGCCCATGCTGGAGTTTTCCATCCCGGACTGGAGGGGCATTTGTAGGCAGAATTACTGCCCATGTGGCTTGTTTTTATGGCAGCCGGCAGGACCAGCAAGCCCAGTGTGGCTGCTGAGACCAGGGGCTCGGGGAGACCCAGCTCCCCGCTGGCCAGCATCCCTGTGCCCCTCATGGTGGCCTCACGCCTGAGCTCTGCGGCTCGTGCACGCGGCTGCTGGCTGCCCTGGCCAGGCAGGTAGGGCCCATCGCAGCAACTCTCTCTTTTCTAACTGCTCAAACTTTTTTTTTTCCAACAGGTGGGTTAATTTGGCTTTTAAATACCTGGAGCAACATGCATGTGTGAAGCCAGCTGTAGTATGGGCGGGCTCCAGCAAGGAAAAAAAATAATAATATTCGGGCTGGCGAGTAATTAAAAGGTGAGGGCTATCCACCCAGCCCGCTGTCCCCCAGGGGTGCAGGCCATGGGGCTCCCTTCACAGTGGTCCGGCACCACCTCGTGGGTCCCCAACTTCTGCTCCTGGCCAGCGTGGTGGTGTGTGGCCCCGCAGCACAATGTGGTGGCCCAGCTGGAAAGAGCTCTGGGACCCCAAATGCCACTGTGGTTATTCCCCCGGGGCTGGAGCACGCGCGTGGCAGGGTGGCCTTCAGCTCCAGCCTTTGTCCCGGGGCTTTATTCTGCTTTAGGCTGCCGGCGGGCACGCTTCCACGGGCAAGGTGGGTCCAGGCTACCGACTCCAAGTCTCCCACTCCTGGGCAGGCTGTAGGTAGAGGGACACCACTGAAAGCACTTTCTCCTGTGCTCCCACTGAAAAGGAAGCAGGGGCTGCACAAATACCTCCGAGTGTCGGAATACTCCAGCACTGAGTTTCCAGACGCTCACAAGGCAATAATACTGAAATAAGCCACTAAGTGGCTTTTGAAACCATTAGCCAACTGCTGCATTAAACGCTCTCGGTGCCACGGGGGAGTCTCCATCATTCCTCGGCCCTTTTTCTGAGAGACAGTCCACCAGAAGCTTCCCAGAGGCTCAGGTGGGGAGGTGGGGGTGCCCCTGACTCGCTGCAGAAGAAGCAAGCTGGGGCGAGGTCCCTCCTGAACTGGGGGGCTGGGTGCTCCCCTGGTTGGATACCCAGCCCTCCGGCCAGGATGGGGACCTGGGTGGGGGACACCCAAAGCGCGGGGAAGCCGCAGCAAAAGGTGCAAGTGGGAGGTTTTTGTTTCAGCTGGCGATGAAGTCAGGGCAAGGGACCAGAGGAGGGAAGCGGGGACTTGTCTGGCATACAAGTAATCAGCTACGTCATCTTATTTTGAAGGTTTTTTAGTTTAGCATGAACAAAACCACCCTGGAGAGAACAGGTAGCAAGTGAGGCCAGAAACCATCATCTCCCACAACGTTGGGCTACCATAGCTGTTAGACGTGCAAAGCCAACCAGATCATCCGTCTTTCTGCCATAAGCTTTGCTGGGAGTCGCGTGGGATCTCCTTCAAACGGTGCAGCCAGGCCAACCCTGGTACCTGCCGGGCCTGGCACCCTCCAAGGGCCGTTCCCTGCCCGCTGCCCCACCACCTTCCCCTGCAAGGCTGCAGGAGGATGTGCCGGGGGGTGACCTGCACCCAAGTTTACAGGAATTTCTTTTCTAAAAACCCTCTCTTGGCTTCTTGGCTGTCTCGGACCCAGGAGAGGGCAGCAGCAGCCCAGGCTGCAGTCTCAGCTACCCTTTCCGAAGCTTGTCGTCATCTCCTAAACTGCTCAGAGAAGGCTGAGAAAGAAAAGGAGGGTATGCAGGGAGCAAGCAGAAAGCAAAACCGCAGTGGGCAGGCTACAGTACTCTCTCGGGCCTCGAAATTGTTTGCTTTCAAGGTGGAAGTGGAAAGAAAATGGTCTTTCTTTGAAAACAAACTGCAATGCCAGGGCTTTCAGTGGCAGTCTTTCGTTCTTTTGATATTGGTGATCACTGTATGGATACTTTTTACAGCACCAGAAAACACAGTGGCAGTGCTGGGGGTGTTCCCAACAGAGGTG